TGCCTTGGTAAGACCACATTTGGAATATTGCATCCAGTTTTGGTCGCCACAATATTAAAAAAAAGTTGAAACCCTACAAAGAAGGCAGAGAAGAAGAACAAAGATGATTAGGGGACTGGAGGCTAAAACGTACGAACAATAGTTGCAGGAATTGGGTATGTCTAGTTTAATGAAAAGATGGATTAGTGGTGACATGATAGCAGTATTCCAATATCTCAGGGGCTGCCACAAAGAAGAGAGGGTCAACCTACTCTCCAGAGCACCTGAAGGAAGAACAAGAACCATTGGGTGGAAACTAATCAAGGAGCAAAGCAACCTAGAACTAAGGAGAAATTTCCTGACAGTGAGAACAATTAATCATTGGAACGGCTTGTTTTCAGAACTCGTGGGTGCGCCATCACTGGAGGTTTTTAAGAAGAAATTGGATAGCCATTTGTCTGAAATGGCATAGGGGTTGAGCAGGGGGTTGGACTAGAAGACCTTCAAGGTCTCTTTTAAGTATGTTATTCTCTTATTTCTGGTAATGCCAGATGTGTGAGGCAAATAAGGAAACCATGGAATTTCCTTGACGATGTCATCATGCTTGTTTCATTTGTCTACCTTGCCTCCTGCAGAGACCCAGGATTTCTTACTGATAGAATCCATGAGATTGCAGACTGGAGGCCTCTCATAAAGGCAGACTTTGCTAATTTATTTTGCATTTGTGACTGATGTTTAGCGGATCAAAATCATTATGAAGGATTCCCTTTATCTTATTGTTAGATTGATTTCCTCACCCGGTTGGGCCATATTAACGTAAAAGCATCAGAACCAATGTCATAAACCAATGAAGGTTATCTAATTACGGTATGTAATATATTTTTGAGAAAATTGAGTACATCTTGATAAGCAGTCTTTGCACCATCTCAAGACATAAATAGGCCAAATAATCATTTGCATGGCTCTACTATCTAGCACTATAGTGTGGTGGACTCTAACACATCTCACAGCTTTTCAGAAGAAGTAATAATATTAGCAAACTTGACCACAGCCAGCGAACGTCTTGGAAATTTATCATTTTAAATAGAATGGAATGGAGTGAATCATTACTCAGGACTGAAACTCGGCAACTTTCAGTATTTATGGAAGAGGAACATTGTGACACCCAAAGTGACCAATATGTCTGTTGACAGCCACTTGTGCCCCTGGGATCCCCATCCCACCTGACTTTTAATGGGAAGCTGGCATGCACATCCACCTGTATCATTGGTATTCCTATGAATGCCTCTGGGCTCTCCTGGGGCAAAGTCTATTCATTTAAGTGCCTCCGTGCGAGTGGCTATCAATAGCAGGTGTGGCTCACCTGGAAAGGATTGCCAGCTAGTCCCTTCCTACACTGAAATGTGTATCTTCCTGAGCCCAGGCAGCTACTGGAAAAGCTCGGGAGAAGATATAGCTTCTTTAAGGAACAATAAAGGGATAGAAAGAGGGTGAAACTGAACCACTTCCCTCTGTCTTGAATCCACACACCACACACCACTATGACATCCAGCCTTTCCAAGGAGATCCTGGGCTTCAGGGAGCTTTGTCTGCCAACTATCTTATTACTAGGAAAATCTTTATTTATTTTACTTTAGGGTTTTCTTTTTAGTCCTTTAAATGACCCCTTTACTTGGTACTTATTTTATATTTTGCAGATTAGTGCTATTGTATTTATGGATTTATTTTTATATTAGTCTAATTGTAAACTGTCTTGAGGTAAATATAATTGAAGACTAGGACATAATTTTTAAAAAATATTTAAAGAAATATATTTTGATTATTTCGGATTAACAATGTTGATATCCCCTAGAAAAAAGGGGAAGAGAAAATTTAGCTGAACTTTCTTCAGACCAAACCTTCCCTTTGAGACTTCAAATAGGCCTAGGTCAGGGGTAGGCAACCTTGGCTCTTTTATGACTCGTGGACTTCAACTCCCAGAATTCCTTTTTCTTCCAATAAATAGGTCGCAACTAATGTCCGTCATCTTGATTGGATGAGATGGTATAGGTTCTCCTGCTTGAGCAGAGGCTGGACTAGAAGTCCTCCAAGGTCCCTTCCAACTTCTATTCTATTCTATTCTATTCTATTCTATTCTATTCTATTCTATTCTATTCTATTCTATTCTATTCTAAAATGGGCAAATTCACTTAACAAATGTCTCACTTAACAATTTGAGTGAGTAGCCAGAAAGTTTTATTTCATTTAACTGAATTCTGCTAGAGGGTGTCAATCCTCAGTTTTCAACATACTTGATATGGCAAGCCAACAGCTTTTAATGTTGCCTTCTCTTGTGCTAATGGAACATTGTACTTCTGTACTTGTTCTGCCACTTCAAGTGGGAGATTCAACTGGGGTCTCAGTTCTCTGACCAGTTCACCAGTTTCTGCAGCCTCTGCTAATCTCCTAACTTAGAATATTGCTAGCAAGCGGCCCTACAGATACAACCAATAGCATTAAGAAGTCTTCAAGGAATGCCGTTGTGCCCTACTCCACCTAGCATCACACCTAGACCAAGATCCAGAAGATCATCCAGGGGTAGTTTCTAATCTTCTGACAGAAAAAAATTCATTTAATATCAGGACTCCAAAGAAATCACAGTACTAATAATATGGACGGACACCCTGGCTCCCATATGAAATATAAGAAACTGAATCCAGAATCACTGTGGTGGGTCTATAACAGTGTCAATATCAACACCTGGAAATCAAAAAGTTATTCCTGCTCAAATTAGTCTAAGATAAAGGAAGGTTTGAACTAGAGCACATCAATTGTAACATCTCCACTATCTCAGTGTTTGCTGTTGACATGGCTACAATGTGTAGCATTTATGATCACCCAGCAGCACAAGCAATGAATTAAAATTCTCCATGGGGCCCTTACTGGTGCAGTGTATATTAAGATTAAAAGGCTACTTATGTAAAGAGTTACTTCATGGTTTTTTGTCTGCCTGCTGTTGAGTTGAACCTAAAGTAATAAAGTGCCCACAAAATGTACAATTTCACAGGAGGCAGTTTTTCAATAGTGCTAAGGGGATCTTCCTGGCATATATTTGTAACAAGAAATGAAAACAAAGCATGATGGATGGATGGATGGATGGATGGATGGATGGATGGATGGATGGATGGATAGATGGATGGACGGACGGCTGAGAGAGAGATATGGATATTAAAAACAGGAACAAAAGTTCTCTGGAAGATATCTGGTTCCAGAATTATGGTAATAAGAGCAAGCCTTACTGATTTCAATAATGCTAAAATGCTAGAAAATGTCAGGGGATACAAACGATCCCTCTTCCTACCAAGATATTTCTCCTCTTCCCTAAAGCATTGAATTACAAATTTGGGGGGGGGTTTCTTGGCTTTTGAGCACACAGATTACAAAGATAGTCACTTCCACATAATGTATTTATTTCCATGTACTTATAAGAAGGCAATGATGGCCAGTACAGTTCATGTTAAATAGATCCATTTCTCATCTCTCCTAAAACACACACAAACACACACACACACACACACACACACACAGAGAGAGAGAGAGAGAGAGAGAGAGAGAGAGAGAGAGAGAGAGAGAGAGAGATCTTACACAATGTTTAAATATTGAGTAAAAAACAGATTTATTCTTTGTTTGAGATTTTCTTTCCTTGCATAGGTTCCTAAAAGCTGGAGGACTCAACTGAAATTAAAGGAGAACCATTCCAAGACTAAATTTTACTAGCTCTTCAAGTAACAAGGCATGTTTGATAAATGTTGACAAGTAATATTGACAAGAGTGTTACATTTGCATACTACACTGGTGTCTATTTGCATTTCTACTTTTTTAAAAAGTTGCTCTAACCTTCATTATAAAGACTGGGGAAAACATCTGTTAGATACATTCATGTAGGAGATTTAGCTACCTCATTCAGAGCTTCACACTATTTCAGTATAACATTCCATTCTTTTTGTTGTTATTGTTGGGAAGGGCTGTAGCTTAGTGGGAGCTCACATGATTTTGTGAGAAAAAAATCTCTGTTCAGTCTGCCTTGTGTCTGTAGGGATAATCTACATCAGAAGCCCTGAGAATATGATTCCAGCTCAGTATAGAAAACATTAAATTAACTGAATCATAAATCTGATTTATAATAAAATCCCATACCTTGTATTTCCAAATTAAGTGATCGTATGGATAGCATTCTTTAATCCTCCTAATTTAAAGTTTTATCATGTTCCAAGTAACTTACAGCGCATTTTTACGAAAACTGGTTTTATTTACACACAAGCATACACACATACATAAGAATGACAATCTAGATACAAAAAAATGTAAGAAACGGGTCTGATAGGGAGCTGGGGGAAAAAGTATATTCTCATTGCAATGGGTTCAAATGTTCACAGACATCCACCAAATGAAAATTTAAGAAATACTTTCTGTGTGTGTGATCAGAACTTACTTGAAGTAAAGCCATGGTCAACCAAAACACCCAAAACCTTATTAAAATTGCTAGCCATAATTACAGCATCCTCCATTAAAGTAAAAATATGAATAACATATTCATAAAATATATACGCAGGAGACTTTTTCTACTGCAGTTCCTGCACTTTGGAACTCCTTTTCTTGGAAAATTTATGCCTCAACTTTTATCTGGCCATTTTGTCAACATGTTGACCACATTTGACCAGGATTGAATATTTCTGGTTGCCATTTGGGAGATTTCTTTGAAAATTGTTTCTTCCAATTTCTCATACTTTGAAACTTTTCTTATTTTAAGTGACACTTTTAAACATTCATAAATTGAAGCACTGGCACTGTCTCAATTACTCCAGTGACCTCGGCGAATATATCCATTAAAAACAAAGGAAAGTCCTTGTTTTAGAAGGAATTCATTTGCACACACTTTCACATTAATAGTTTCTATTTCTTTATTCTAAAAAAGTACAGACAATGGAGGTAGTGGAGCTCCTAGGATTTGACCCTTCAGGAAAAATAAAAGTCCTCCTGCTTCACAGCCGAGTATAGTATTCTGGTGGTTCATTGTTCCTATTGTTTGCAGTCTCATCTCCTGCTTTCATTGGTACTTCATTTTCAATTTCAAAAGCTGGATTGACCCTCCCAGATGCATAATCATTTCTTTTCAAATCTATGAAAAGAAAACAGAATACAAATCTTTATCTTAGAGAATACATCTTTATTACATTTGCATGCTGCTGTTACCTCCAAGGATTCCAACCATAGCAAACATATAAGCAATATGCAACATTGAAATATCCACTACTAGTATTACTACTAATAATGATAATGTCTGCTGCTTCATCTCCAGTGCTCCTCAGAGCTCCTTAAGATTAACCCATAGGGGAAAAAATCCACTTGAGAGCATCAAGCTTCCATGCCACTTCCTGTTACCAGAAGTTCATTATCTAAATCAAAAGGACTGCCCACCAGATATCGGAAAACTCCTCAAGCACCTTTCAAATTCCCTCCAGATCCATCAGTTACTGTGATCTTCTTCAGGAAAGTGCTGGGTGGCAATCAATCCCATCTAAACTAAGAGGTATGAGGCCACAGCAAGGGACTAAAACAGTGGTGGGATTCAAATATGTGAACAACGGTTCTCTGTGTGGATGCCGCTTCCAGAAGTCCATTCTGGGCCTGGGCAACAAAAAACTAGCTACCGGTTCTGCCGAAGTGGTGCGAACCGGCTGAATCCCTCCACTGCACTAAAGTATAAGGTGTTGTATATCCAGGTCACAGTACCCAAAGTTGTCTTTTGGGGGAAAACAAGATCTAACCTATGTTGTCATGTGCACGAGGCAGAGATTATCTGGAACAAGCCCGATTCACACCCTAGAAGTCATGAATCTCTGATCCCACCTACAGGACATGAAGAGTGAAGTCCTCTAATATGAACTGGGAAGGATATTCCACCATTTGCCCAGAGACAAAATCTAGGAGTAAATCAGATGCTACACTACAGAGATTTCCAGTTTGTAATTCAGAACATTATCACCTTAACAGCAGCAATCCTGGTCATAAGAAACTTATCTTTTAAGACCAATGTTATCATTCTGAAGTTTGCTGCAGGGTCCAAAATCTAAGTAGATAGATCTCCAAAAGAGCATCTCCAAATGGATTTTGGTAATATGTATTAATATTAGTAACTGAAGAGACATATCTTCAACTAAGCAGGGCATCTTCGTATAATATACTAATTATACAGGACAAAAATAAATACTTTTATTATTACTTCCTTCCTATAATGTATTAGATTGTAAAAAAGAAATGAAAGGCTGCTTATTTAACCTTTAAATATACTGCTTTAGTCATCCTACTAAAAACTAATCTTATATCCTATTTAGAAAAAGGACATGATTGGGTGATTAATTTGACATTGGGGCCTTCCACAAAATTGGCCAATTTTAATGTGATACTAGGGAATGCAATGTAATATATATATATGAAAAGCCAAGTGAGACTTTTGGCTTTTAAAAAAATGCACCTGATATTTAAAGAGTTTGCCACACCCAGATGTGAAATACAAAACCAATAAATAAGGCTTAGTATTTCTTTTTTCTATTGTGTGGACCCTCAAAATATTAATGGAAAATGTAAATTTGTACGATTCCTTCTTGGAGTACTTTGTTACCAATGTCAATGCAAAGAGCTCAGTCCTAGATTCAGGGATTAGCTCTAAGCTCAGATTTGTTTGAAAACAGGCAAAGCCTTACTACTCCATACCAGAAAGTTTGAGTTTCCTGCAACAAGAATTGCAGCAATGCTTTGAAATGAAGTTTTTGAAGGCTTCTTCTCCAAGATTTGCCGGTCCAAAGGCCATCCCTCTAGAGTTTGAAAATAACAAAGGAATAATTAATGCCATAGTATCTGTACATACCTTTTCCACCTGCATATCACAAATATGCTTAATTGTATGCCACGTTTTGGGGGCTGGACGGATTTGTCTAACCTCCTACTCACGTCCTCCTTACCTTATTCTTCACGAAGTAACACACTCGAAGATAATTGGATCTCCTACATCGTCAATAATTTTTAATTACAAGATTTGGGTATCGGTGTTAGATCAAACTGTGTCTATGGTGAAACGTTTCATCGACCTCCCATTTTGGATTAGGAAGTTGATCACAGTTGAGCATTACTTATAAGATATTGTGGTTAGATAACATTTCATTAACTGTAGGCCATTTCTTGTACATTCCTAGGATTTAAAGGGTGTATTTAACCCACAAGATGCAATGTATTAACTTCAGCACTATCTGTTGTACCTGAAATGAACTTGGAAACCAAAAATAATCACTCAAATAAGTCAAATATTTATCTCTTCTATTGCCAGGTTTTTCATAAATATCTGCATTTATAGCTTATATTAAGTTTTCTTCTGTTACGTTTTTGTGAATGCATTACATTATTCTTAATCGGCCACTTAAAAAGATACAAATACAAAATTGTGTTGTTAACCAAAAAGAACAACACTGTCAGCAATGTGTAAAAATATGCATATGTGCATTACAGTTAATATTGGAGATTAATTGAATCATAGAATATATGTCACATTTTATATGATAAATTTACATGAGATACATACTGTTTGTCTTCAGGTTTAATAACAGATGGATCTGTGAGGTTTTCTCCAACACCTGAAGAATTCAAATTTATAATGGTTATCAGAAGGTAATTGTCTTCCTAAAAACCATTTGTGAAATTATAACCTGTGCAATTATGATATAGTTATCTAATCTTTTGGTTTACAGAGTAAAAATGAAAAAGCAATGTTAAAATTATAAATTGCATTAGACTACAACAAAGAAATGTTGCACATGCAACCATTTTTAAGACGTTTTTCATTTAAATGTAAAGCAAACGTCATAAAGACAAAATATTTTGTGGATCCAAATGCATGTTGCTGGAACTATATACTGTATAAATAGAATACATGTTGCAAAGTCAGAGAGAACTAAAACTACTTCCTTGCTGTGCAAGGAAACGTCGCAACTTTGGATAAAACAGATCAACAGCATAGACATATTCCAGCTCTGAAACCTTCATATGCTCTAGAATATCTAGATCAATACTGAAATTTGGATATTATATTTAATTTACTGCATAAGCTTGTTTTGCTGTCCTGAAATAACAGCTTACATTGAGCATATTAATGTTTTCATTTATTTATGTCAGAGTTGGATAACTTTTATAGGCCAATCTGGAATTGTGAAAGATTCCATGGAAGATTTTCCTAGTTACAAAATGGCCAGTCCCATTTATCAGAAGGCAAACTAGTCCTCAAGGATGCTTCCTTGTTGATCTCTGTGGGATCTCATAGCATTCATGAAGCACTAAAGGTTGATGCTTTCCTTTGGCATAAGTTAACCTCCTTTAAAACAGTGGTTTTTTTTTTAAGTGATGTAAATCTCAAACTGCATTATTATGTATACAGAACACGGAACAGAAATCTCTGATCCTATTATATTGTGTATAACTGATAGATTTAGATACTTAATATTGTTTCTTATTTTTTAAATTCTCTATTCTGTTAACAATGCCAACATATGGATCAGAATCTATAACAACTCATAGTTTCCATAGTTGCTCTGGCTCCACATTGGGAACATTCACTCCTACAATAGCAGCCCCCTCCTGCCAAATTTATTATTCTCCTTGCTCACTGTGAATTATATATTTTGACAGTCCAACTTCATGTAGAAATAGAATTAATTATCAGCTAATTTTAGAGGCGTCTGCAAGATAGGCAACCTTGTTCTTGAATAACTACACAAATATACACTCAGAAATTAAGCGGAGATAATCAATATCTAGTGCTTCCTGTTAATCTCCAGATCCAGATAAGTGCAGAAATACATATGCAAGTTCTAATACAGTAATATATCAAAAATAATATAGACAAGAAAGACTTAAAAGCAGCCAGAATAATAGGAGCCGCTAGAAGCACACAACTTTACAATTCCATTAAAGAAAGGTAGCATGAAAGCAAAAATATGGATGCATGTAACCTGTACATTTTTGAAATGTGCTCTATACCAAGCAACCAGCGGTACTCAAAAGATTAATACATATACTATAGCATGAACTTGCCAGGTTAACACAAGTACTCCAAATCTCACTACTTCAAGAATGCAGATGTGGCAAGGCTATGACTGCTGTGCCAAACGATCTCTGTGTCATCATTTTTCCCCATATCAGCAAGAGGTCAAGCTTTGTTGGTGTGCTTGTCAACCCAACCCATCCCGGCACTCACCTCACCTCACCAAAGCCAGCAAGAAGGCAGTGCTTAGGGGATCAAGGTTTCCAACCAGTTATGCCAGGTTTAATGGAACCCCTAAAAACCAGTGATCAGAACCAGCAACATTTCCCTGCCCGTTAAGGGCAATTCAGTAATTATTACTTAGTATTATGCCAAATCGGGGAGCATGGTGTTTCACATGGGTAGACAAACCCGCGTATGAGATCCGAGTGCTGCTGTGTGATGGGGTGAGCTCCTATCATTTGCTCCAGCTCCTGTCCATCTATCAGTTCAAAAGAATGCAAATGCAAGTAAATAAATAGTTACCATTTTGGTGAACACAATAACAGGGACATGAAAGGAGACCCCAACCAGGTGTCCCCCAGGCAATGGTGATGTCACCAGGTAATCCTTTCAATTTGGAAACACCGTTGGTGCTTCCGATACAAGTGCGATGCAATGTGATGCCAAGCCCAGCACTCCAGGAAAGCAACTGAAAAATTACGTGTAGATTTTGTAGGTTTTTTAATTTATTTATTTATTTATTTACTTTCAATATGGTCTTCGAGCTTTAATTCAACGATACCAACTTTCTTCCTTCCTAAAAAAAGGGGGGGGGCTCTCCTTTCCTCATACTTTTTAAGATAAAGGTGCACTTTTGACAATAATTAGGCAATATTTGGGGACTCACTCTTGAGGCATTTCTGATCCATTTGCTTGGCATCTGCAGGGAAGTGGTTTGTGATGGCCCTTTTCTGGGAAGAAAAAGGTTTTGCAACTTCCAGACTAGCCCACATCTAAGTATTAATCAGGCCTAATCCTACTTTGCTTTGAGCTAAAACAAATGCAGACAAGTGCAGCTGCCTACTGAGTCTCAGTTATGTGATCTCAACCTTAAAAGAGCAGCAGGGGGAATATTTTAAAAAAAAAGTATTGAGACTTTCCCATTATAATTTAAAGAAACAGCTCAGATCAAATGGATTTGTCCTCAAATCTCTAAACCTAGCCTTAAAACAAGTCATACTTATTCTAAATCTCAAATATTCAATATGAATAGAATAAAATAGACCTAGAAGGGACCTTGGAGGTCTTCTAGTCCAGCCTCCTGCTCAAGCAGGAGAACCTTTACTGTCTCAGACAGGTGAATATCTAGTCTCTTCTTAAAAATATCCAATGATGGAGTGCCCACGATTTCTGGGGGTAAGCTGTTCCACTGGTTGATTGTCCTCACTGTCAGTAAGTTTCTCCTTAATTCCAGGTTGCTTCTCTCTTTGGTCAGTTTCCAATCATTGTTTCTCATCCTTCCCTCTGTGCTTTGGTGAACAACCTGCCCCCCTCTGCCTTGTGGCAGCCCCTCAGATACTGGAATAGTGCTATCATGTCTCCCCTATTTCTTCTTTTCTTTAGACTAGCCAAACCCAAGTTTCATAGCCATTCTTCATATGTTTTAGTTGATCATCTTTGTTGCTCTTCTCTGAATTTTTTTCAAACTCTCAACATCTTTTTTGTGATATGATGACCAAAATTGGCTGCAGTATTCCAGGTGTCTTGGTCTTACTAGGGTTTTATAAAGCGGTAATAATACTTTGTGTGATCTTGATTCTATGCCTCCGTTTATACAACCAAGGATTGTATTAGCTTTTTTGGTTGCTGTTGCACACTTCTGACTTATAGTCAAGTGATCGTCCACTAGGACTCCAAGGTCCCTCTCACTGTTACTGTTTTTAAGCCAGGTCTCACCCAATCAGTATTTGTACCTTTGATTTTTCCTGCCTAAATGTAAGACTTTGCTTTTCTCAACATTGAAACTCATTTTGTTCGATAGGGTCCATTGTTCAAGTTTGTCAAGATCTTTTTGGATGCTGAGTTTGTCTTCTGGGGTGTTGGCTACTCCTGTCAGTTTGGTATCATCTGCTAATTTGATGAGTTGCCCTTCAATTCCCTCATCTAAATCATTTATGAAGATATTGAAGAGTACTGGGCCTAAGACGGAACTTGTGGTACCCCACTGCTAACTTCTCTCCATGTGGATATGGTGCCATTGAGGACTACTTGTTGAGTATGGTTTGCCAGCCAGCTACAGATCCATCTGGTGGTGATGTTGTCTATTCCACCTTTTCCTAGCTTACCAAGAAGTAGGTTGTGGTCCACTTTGTCAAATGCTGCACTGAAATCTAAGTATACTACGTCCACTGCGTTTTGCTGATCTACTAGTTTAGTCACTTTATCGAAGAATGAAATAAGATTGGTTTGGCATGATCTGTTTTTAACAAACCCATGCTGGCTACTAGTTATGACTTTGTTTGCTTCTAGTTGTTCACAGATCTGTTTTTTTATTATCTTTTCTAGGATCTTCCCAGGTATTGATGTTAAATTGATTGGTCTGTAGTTTCCTGGGTCCGTTTTTTCCTTTCTTGAAAATGGGGACCACATCAGCCCTTTTCCAATCCTCAGGTACTTCTCCGGTGCTCCAGGATTTATGAAAGATATGGTGCAATGGTTCTGAGATAACATCTGCCAGGTCCTTCAGAACACTGATTCACACAGGCCCCCATGGCATTTGCATGGATGGTAGGAAAGAAGGTACAATGATGAAAGCAGAAATGCAATATCAATGTTGTTCACATAACAAACAAAGGGCGGAGCCTGTGGCGTGCTTGCACAATCTTCTGTAGATGCACTATGCACAGGCCTAGAAGTCACTGTTAATCAATCAACCACTAACAATAGACGTGTGAGGGGCGGGGTCTGTCTGTCTGTGTGTGTGTCCATGCATATGCATATGTATATCATGGACTGTATGCATAGAATTTTTCTTGTATCTGATAAGCTATACTACGGTTCACAAATGCTGACACCCAAATAGGTGCATTAGCCATTCAAGTGTCCTAAGCCATTTTTTCTAGCTTTGATTTTTCCTGATTTTCATGGTTCAGTCTTTTTTACTCACCTTGCAAATCTAACACAAGAAGTTCTCCTCGGGTATATTCATAACTCCAGTGAGAAAAAGCCAGCATAACTTCTTCCAGCAAATTGCTAGGGGTGATTTCATCTCCATTGTTGTTATTGTACTTGCGGAATTCTCCTGTCATGTATTTTTCTATTGTCAGCCACTGATTGGCTGAATGGCAATAAATTAAAAACACTTCAAGGAATCTGAAAAGAAAGGATAGTATCTTTTCAGGAGGTGCTCTTCACCCTGCTTTTGATAAATAAAAGGTACTAATCTCATGTACAATTTTCATCAACATCATAATCTTTAACAACATTCAAAAACATAAGTATGTGCAAAGTATCTGTTAAAATGTAAGGTTATTCTATCCATGTCTATGCAGAAATAAACCTAATTGAATTAAATGGCATTTATTCCCAAATAAGTAAGTACAGGACTATAGCCAAAAAGGTGTCCTGAGATAATTAATAAGAGTGATGAGGCCCTAATTTTCAGACTGGGCTTCATAAAATCTCCAAGCTTGAGGGAAAAATTGGGCACCCTCTTGAGGAAATCTATTATCATAATTGTGGCAAACAAATTGCAGAGGACAAATCACCACCAGTAGTTTAACAACAGAATAAAAGTATAATAATAGCAGCCTAGAAGATTCACTGGTGATTTCCTGATATACATGTAAGAAATGATTGATTCTCACAAAATTATTAACATATCCCCCCTTTTTTGCAATAATCAGCAGTTTTCTGATACTTCCTACTAATTCAATGTAATGTTTTCTGTTATTTCTGAAGCTGGATACGCAAATGAAACCACTGTTTGTGGAATTAAAAGCATGTATTACTTATTATCTTGTAAATCAAATAAATCTTCATTTTAAATATTTAGAATGAAGTTTTGATGCTGCTCATTAAATGAATACAGATGAATGGAGAAGCTTGAAGTAGGAAAAATAATAATGTATACACTTTAAAAGGATTTTATCCTGCTATATTGCTATCTGACTTTAGCAATTTTGTCAGCACTGAACTGAACAAAAGGAACAAGATATAAGATAAGATAAGATAAGATAAGATAAGATAAGATAAGATAAGATAAGATAAGATAAGATAAGATAAGGTGCAACCTTTATTGTCATTTTTATACTGTGGGCACAATGGCACACATCAAAAATGAAATTTAGTTGCCCGCTCTCAATAAGATAAGAGAGAGAGGGGGGGGAAGGGAGGGAGGGAGGGAGGGAGAGAGAGAGAGAGTTGAAATAAGCCTCAAATTAACTGTCTTCCCTGAATAAATATCTAATATGGTGGATCATCCCTTTAGGATTTATCAGGATCCTGAAAAGCAGTATCTTGTTTGTTTGTAATGTCAGGTTTTGGTGTCACTATTTAAAGAGATGGAAGGGGGGGAAATCATGGAATATTGTTGTTGTTCAGGCACTAAGTCATGTCTAACTCTTTGTGACCTGATGGATCATAGCACACTCTCTCCTTCACTGTTTCCTGGAGTCTGTCCAACTTCATGTTCATTGTGTTGATGACACTATCTAACCATCTCATCCTCTGCTGTCCCCTTCTCCTTCTGTCTTCAGTTTTTCCCAACATCTGGGTCTTTTCCAATGAGTCTTAACTTCTCATTAGGTGACCAAAGTATTTGAGCTTCAGTTTCATTTTCTGTTCTCCCAAAGAACAATCAGGTTTGGTTTCCATTAGAATTGATTGATTTGATCTCCTTGCAGTCCAAGGGATACTCAAGAGTCTTCTCCAGCGCCATAATTTGAAAGCATTCAGTGTTCCTTATGGTCCAACTCTCATGGCTATGGTTTTATAGTTATGTCATAGCTTTCCTCCCAAGGAGCAAGCATCTTTTAATTTCATGGCTGCAGCCATTATCTACAGTGACCTTGGAACCCAAGAAAATAAAATCTGCACTGCTTCCATTTCGATGGAATATAGACTATAATAATATGTAAAACATGTGAATAAATAGTTTTCTGTTCCTCTAATAATTGTTGGAATTCTAGCACAGGATTGTATCTGCCTGTCTATTGACAGATATTATTAATTAAACCAGCCCATAATATATAAAATGAATAGGTTTAGTCTTTTATACTTTTATTTCTAGAAACACATTCTTCATACCTTGGAGTATATGGAATGCTATGGGGCTTCATTTGATTGAAGGTATATATCAATTTCTGAGCTGCCCTTTGCTGTTGTATTTCCTAAGAATAATAACAAAAAAAACCCTAAGTATATTATTTCAGTAATGTTTAAAATAACATTTTAACAAATTAGTACTATTTCAATCCACATTTTAAGTACTTTTTAAGATTGTAATGAAACAATGTGATTTGGCTAAGTCTGCCCAGAGATGAAGTAAGAACTGAATTCTGAAATTCCAGAGATCATATCAAAAACTACTAATTGACTTGAGTGGGGAAAACTTAAAATCACTCATAAGTGTCATTCAAAGGACAAGAGGAAAATTTAGTCTTCTTAGAAAACAAAATCACAAACTAATTTACAAGATACGAGTGAGCTGTTCACATGTACCTGTATTTCCCTGACAAATAAGAAGTACACTTTGTCTGATCTTTCCAGTTTCTACTACAAGGATATTAACAGCTTTGTGTTCCCTACTACAGAATAATACAATGTCAGAGTTGGAAGGGGCCTTGGAGGTCTTTAGTTCAACTCCTGCTCACAGGAGGCCATATATCATTCCAGAAAAATGGCCATCCAGTCTCTTCTTAAAAACCTCCAGTGATGGAGCACCCACAACTTCTAAAAGGCAAGCTGTTCCACTGATTAATTGTTCTAACTATCAGGAAATTTCTAGGTTGGTACTAGTACAGTGCAATATTTGTAATACTAGTATTTACTGGTATTACCATCTGTGTGCTACGATGAATCCATTTTAGCCATTCTCATGAATAGACCTACTTTTAGGGCACGTGGTGAGGCAGGGCTGAGGCAGTGATGGCGTTCACACGAGATAGCTGTTCACAGAGTTGGGACTTAGGTGACAAGTGGGATTTGACAGACCTCTTGGTGAACCACCATTTTAAACACGGTGAACCACAGTGAGGGTTCGTTCTGTAGTGCTGATCAGATTATACTCACTCTGAGACACAGATGGAGGACAGTGCTTTCATGGAAGATCTTCTGCCAAGTCCGAACAACTTCAGGAAGGAAAGATTTTACAATGAAAACCTCACCTAACTTGAGCACGTTATTTTCAGACCAGGTACAGACAGCTTTCATAGCTCTCCTCAGACCTCCATCCATTTCCTCCTGAGATAAAACTTGAATCATGGCAGCCATGCCGTGCTGTGACCAAGAGGACATGCTTTTATCAAGGTTCGAAGGTGAACTTTCTTCCAATCTATAAATCGTTACTTCTTCTCCAGCTAAATAAATTGAACAAATAATAAATAAATAAATAAATGGGAGATATTGTGAAAAACACAATGAGATTAACAATAGATGAAAAATGCAAGGATTTTTAATAACAATGTTTTCCAATTATTTCTTGATATTATACAAAATAATATAAAAGGTAGAGATATGGATAGAGATACAGATGAAAGGGGGAGAGAGAGAGGGGGAGAGAGAGAGAGATGCATCATGACTTGAGTTAATAAAAATAACCAGACAATAGCATGATTGTACATTTGAAGTCTAAATTATTATGAATTTTCCTAATGAGTGAAACATTTTTCATACATCAGCATGGTACTCACCAAAAAACTGCACTGGTGTGAAAGGGATTGTTTGAGCCAGCCTCATTAAATTGTTTCTTTCAACAGCTGCAAAATAGCAAGTTATTCATATGATTTGAAATGATTTCCCCATCCTTTTAAAAAAAGAAAAGTGAAAAAGAGCTCCTACTCCTACATAAGGCCTTTGAGTGGGAGACATAAAATACAGTACAACTTTTGAAGTGATCAGAGCAATGTTTTATTTTCATTCATGGAAGTAAAACTAATTAGTTATAACATTATCTTAAGAGTTATTTCGGCATTTTTAGTTTTCTCACACTGGGCCACTGGCTTGAATGGGCAACATAAATATGCTGGACCAAGACTCAGTTAGAGTTGGAAAGGAACTTAAATGAGCATTATAGCACTGGAAGACCTTTAAAAAAAAACAATTGAAATCATTTATTCAGCCGTCAAGGGCCACTCATTGAATGTATTCTTCTGATTTAAATAAAATGGGCAATATTTGATATCATTTCAACCCACACAATTGATCTAATACTGACAACAGTTATTAAGATTTGAAGCTATGTATCCCTTGATCTTTGCCAAATTACTGAAACTTTGTCTGAACTCAAGGTATCCCTTTCTATATTTCTTCTCGTATAGCAAGGCAGACAATAATATGGGATGTATTTATTGCTGGATATAAATCAATTTCTCTGAGCATTTTTATAAACTTTAGTAGTTACAAAATGACCCTTCACATTTCCAACATAAATCTGAACTATCTTATACATTCTAGACAATTTTTCTGGAATCATTTACCAGAAAATATATTTAACACTTGGGGTTTTTTTTCCTTGTCATATACACTTTGATATATCTTTCTGCCATTGTCAGAATAGGTATTATTTGAAACAAAAACATTATCCTTGGCAAAATATTTTTGTTATAAAAATTCTCCCCAACAATCACAATTGTAATGTCTTCCCTGTTCGGTTCTTTTTGTGCATGATTACTACTGCAAGATGACTATATGCACAAAAATGGAAAGACACTGAAACATCACAAAGAAGGAATGGTTGGTAAAAATGACAGAACTAACAGGGATGGCAAGATCACTTGATTAGTGAAAGATCAACAAGTACATTTATCAATGACTGGACAGTCCTTAGGGACTTTTTGTTGAAAAAAGAGAAAAATGAACTTATGATTTATGGCTTTAAAGATTAGAAAGAGTAGCTTATAGAAAGAAGGAAATTATGATATAGCACTAGGTAAAGAGGGCAAAATACAAATGTATTTAAAACCGTTATCAAGGAGATCGAAAGCCATTTATGTATTTCTTCTTTTCTTTTTTCTTTTTTCTATTTCTTTTTCTATTTTTTTTTCACCATTTACTATTTTTCATTGTTGTCTTTAGTTTCCTTTATGGTTTTTAACTTTGCAAAAAAATATGATTCAATAAAAATTAATTTAAAAAATTAATGTGTAAAGTTTGAATAGATTTTGTTTAAGTTTCATGAAAATCCATCACGGCTGAATTTTTAATATATACTAAACTGACCACAGCATTGGTATATGCTGATATGTGCTTCTGATATAACAGCTTTCATACTTACTGCAATAATAATATACTACCTCTAACTCTCATACAATTATTACATATTACAAATACTTCATTTAGCAATCTCATCAGGAACAGTATTTGCAAAGACTGTGATATACATATATTCTTAAATGTGTGACAGTAAGGACATCTGCTGGTAGGTATCACAAATTTCATCTAGTAGAGAATATGTAACATCTAGCTTTGAATATGTAATCTTGGCAAGTTCAAATTGTGTTCATTGCTTCTGATGCAGCGTGAAATCATTTTAGGATATGAATTCACTAGGGATTGATACTAAAAGCAGGTACATTTGATCAGAAACTGAACTAGCTGATCCTCAATCTCTACACCCTCTTATTATATTTCCTAAACATAATAGAAATTATATTTATAAAAGAAATCATATTACAAAACAAATTTTCTTTCTATGGCTTTTGATTATAGATCTGTTATTATCTTTTCCAGTAACCAATTTATTTTACCAACAACTACTTGGCACGCAGAAAGCAGTGCTAACATAATAAATTATCTTAATCTCCCCATGATACTCTCTTAGGAATTATTTTAATGTACGGCACTTGATAATGAGCTACTTCAAAGTCAGATAATTAGAAAATGATAGAAGGAAAGAATTAATATACTCAGCATACTCACTTAAATACTCACTACGTACCTGAGTAATGATGGTGCAAATCTTGAGGGGATTTTAAGGAGTGTGAGATATCTGAAATATTTTGAAAACATTAATGTTAAATATGGAAAGAAAGTACACTGCTGTGAGCACTGTGCAGTCAAGACTGTCATAAAGTGATTGGCAGTGAAAGGGAATCCATTTTTAACTTCCTGTAAAGCCCTTCTTTGAGCTAATTAAAATTCTTTTTATTAAATTATCAGTCAAAAAGCATATAATTATACTAGGGATCAGAATATTATTTGTTTATTTAACAATACCTATATCTTGCTCTATTCCTAGCAGTTTTTGGGCAGACTACAAAAGGGCTAAAGCATTTTTTAAAATATTATCTTAATTGTATTTATACACAATTAAAATACCGGTACTTTAAAAAGCCAACAATCAGCGTCATAGGTACCAATAAAATTAAAATAACAGCCAAATATATATCAGAATAAGATGCCTTTCAACTCAATTGAAAATTTATTCAACTGAAAGACACTTTGTTTCTCTGAATTTGAATATTTATTGTAAGTTTTATAAAGATAGATCTGTTTTTTATGGTCAAAGGCCAGTAGTTTAAAATAACATACTGGAACTAATTATCCAGATACAGTTCAAAATTAAATTATGAATCAATATAAGGAAAAAGGAAAAAAAGGATGGTAACTGAATAAAATAACTAAAGATGATGAATATAACTTTTATAACAGATAAATTTTAATTTAAGTCTAGTGGTTACTGACAGCAGTAGCTACAAGTATTAAAAGTTTGCTATTTTCCTGGAAGCTTCACTACAGCAATCACTTAATTAAACAATGCACTGTATTCTGTTGGCTCCAAATCAACTCTATTGCAATTAGTAGTATTATTAATTCTGCTTTCCAAGGATGTTAGATTGGGCAAGAAAGAAGTATAGGTATAACCATATCAATTTCAATATTAGAACAGATAAAGAGACAATTTTGGAAAAGAACATTGTGATATTTCCTTGTTAAATCCATTGAGGGTAAAGTATCTAGATGTGCCCCAATGAATATCTTTTGCTGTATCAATTCAAAAATTTGGAGCATTTACTAAAACGTAGTGAAAAGTGGAAGTCAAAATAAAATAAAAGTGGTATAACATGGTCGAAGTACTCTGAAACAGTTTTTGATTTGCAATCCAGAAATGGATATTATAGTTTAAAATTAATCACAATTTGCAGTAACTGTTGATATAATATCTGAACACTCATTATAGGTCTACAACATCTTTGGATTATTGTGGAGGCCTTCAAATATATAAGTAACCATTAATGCCTAATTTAATTTTTTTTCTTTTTCAATGTCTGTCTATTTGCCATATATTATATGACATTTAAATGGTAAGACTAAGCAAAACATCTCAACAGTCTCTATAAACATATCTGGAAGATTATAGGTTAGACTCAGTTTCCGTATAAGAAAGTCTTTAAAAAGGTGAGTTAGTATCAAGAGGCTTTTCTAGACTAACTTTGTTCTAAATGTGCATTTGACTATCATATTTACAAATAAAACCAAAAACTTACTGCCATCTCCATCCAAACTTCTCAACCTATTTGAAACAAAAACTGGAGTTTTTATCATTGTCTGAATTAACACACATGCATGCCCGCACAAAGATACACACACAAAATGTTAATTGCATTGGGAAACTTATTTTATTCATTCTAATTTTACAAATGATAATACATTGACTGCAATAAGGTCTATGCTCATTCAGGATTCACACACTAACTTACATTTCTTGATTTCTCATGACCACTGATAGACAAACTCTGTTTAATTGTAAATTCTATCATTTGTACCCAGCATTTATCTGCTTGATGTATAGTAAGTCGTTCATGCAGACATACAGTATTTCTATGCAATTTGGCACTAGTTTCAGGACCACATGAAGATGGAATTCATATTTATATTCACATATAAATATACTTAATTTGTCCTTTGTGATAACTTTTTAGAATGTGACACCTCAATGAGGTTATCAGCTAAATGATTAAAGATCTCAAAAGCATGTCAGATAGTAGGAATAATAAGGCCAAACCCCATAAAAAAAAAAGCCATCTACGATAAAACAGACAAGAATACTTACGAGTGGCTTCGGCTCAGATTGTTTTTTCTGTTCTTCCTAGTCCAAGCAATGCTGTTATTTAAATCCTGAAAACAGATTGTTGTTTCTATTATTTTTATGAATAGGCATTTTAAATAAAATTATGTCCATGATTAGTAACTTCCATATCCATATACCTTCTTTTCTGGCAAGGCATACATAGTACACAAAATCATGGCTTCTTTGAACTACAATTTACTGAAACCATTCCTAATAAACTGTATTTGTGACTCACAAGCTATAATAGCTGGATTGTTTGATCATATTAAAACACAACCAACCACTTCATATAATATGCCCACACAAACATTAATAGTTCTTCACTAAGAATGCTGAAAGGCAGAGAACATTTAAGAATATATACCATAATTAAAGCTACACTTCTAATTTTCATCTCAAAATATTGTTAAGGTACACCTTTGTTATTAATACTTAGTCATTACAGATTTATACAATGGGCCAAAAAACAAAATTTTGCTTTCCATAATTTTATTTGTTTATTTGCTTGATTTTTATCATATCTTTATTACTTTAAAAGGCACTTGAGGTGGCGAACATACATAATCTTCCATTTAGCAGCTCAGCTTTATTATAATATTTAATTAACATAAAATATTTCTCTAGATCTAGTACGATAGCTTAGCAAACTTAGTGGTATCAGGAAAGTAAAAGGGATTCTGCTTAGGAAAGTCTCAAAGTGCTAATATAAAATTATTTCATCAGCAGACTATACCAGGAGTGTGTGTGTTCTTCAAAAGAGTTGATCAGAACATTCTGGAATGTGCATGAAACATTTTTATAATAATAATAATAATAATAATAATAATAATAATAATAATAATAATAATAATAATAATAATAATAACAACAACAACAACAACAACAACAACAATAATAACGACTATTATTATTACTATTACTATTACTATTACTATTATTACTACTACTACTATTATTATTATTATTATTATTATTATTATTATTATTATTTGAAGCAGTTCCTTGCAAAAGGCGGCCTTACTAGGAACTGCTTCCATCCTGTGATGATATCTGTAATACCATCAATTCAAACATCCACATCTGCCTATCCCAGGTCCTTGGTAAGGACTCGATAGGTAGACAAAAATGTCAAATGCAGTCTGAACATCTGGCTGACTAATAATAATAACAACAACAACAACAACAACAACAACAACAATAATAATAATAATAATAATAATAATAATAATAATAATAATAATATACATGTCTTTTTCCACTTTCCATAACTACTACAGAAAGTATTTCTGGGAACAGCTATGGAAAGTAATTTTCAAAACAGTGATATGAGCCTGCGGGGAAAAAGTAGCTATTTTAACAAATTGAAAAGATGTGCTATGTATGAGCTTTCTATGTTCCAAAAGTTCCCCTTGAAGGATTGCACAATCTATATTACTTCTTTATGCTATTTCCTTAACAACTCACAATCATATAAAGCCTCAACTTTTAAAATTATCCTCCTCGTATATCCTTTACTTTATGTTTTGATAAGTTGAGTTTTTTTAATCACTGATCTTTAAAAATATTAGAATAGAATAGAATAGAATAGAATAGAATAGAATAGAATAGAATAATAACTTTATTGTCACTTTGAATGTACACTAATGGCATACATTAAAATGAAATTTCGTTGCATACAGCTCTCAAAGGGTTACCACCTCTAATATACACTACATAAATATGACAAAAATAAATAAATAAATAAATAAATACAGAATTATGCATACATCTACATATATTATATGACACAGAGAAACAACAGTCTAGTTCAGGTTATGTATACACGTGCATGACAAGAAAAACAAATCTTGCAAATTTACCAGACAGATGGCATAGGGCAGTGATGGCAAACCTTTTAGAGACTGAGTGCCCAAACTGCAATCCAAAACCCATTTATGCATCATTGAGTGCCGGGTGGGTGTGGCCCATTGGCTGGGTGTGACCCATTGGCTGGGTGCAACCCATTGGGTGGGTGTGGCCCATTGGGTGGGCATGGCTGCGATAGTAACAGCAGACTGGGTGGGACTAAAAAGTTCAATCAATCAATTCCAACTTTGCAAGACCTTTTTTTTTCCGCGAGAAGTTGAAATTGACTGATTGAACCTTTTTTTTTTTTTTTGCACACGGCGGCGGAGGCCTAAAGCAAAAAGGTTTTATAAAACCCAGCTGAAGGCCTGGGACTGGGGCGATGGCACGCATGCCCACAGAGAAGGCTCTGAGTGCCGCCTCTGGCACCCGTGCCATAGGTTCGCCACCACTGGCATAGGGAACAAAGCTATTACAGAATCAGGTAGAGATTAATTACCTATTTCTTCACCAGCAACTTCTGCGCTTAAAAAAGTATCTACTTCTTTAATGTACTCACTAGAGCTCAGCCTAAAATAACAGCACAAGCATTTAATAAAAAATACAGATCATAAAAAGCTCCCTGGCACATCTTACCTCTTGCGATTGTCTCAAGTAGTCACAGATTTGCACTGTCTGCCTCACTAGTTCTTGATTTTTCATTTCCTGATGCATACAACTGATATGATCTAAACCTAGCCAAGTAAACAAATATTCAAAGTTATTGCAAGTATCTTGTTCCCAAAAAGTGAAAGTGTCCTCATTAATCAATCCATTTAAAGCAAGATGGTTCTTACCTTCTACCTTTGAAAAATAGGACTTTCCTAAGGATTATACAATGTCAGCAGAGGGCTGTGTCATGCTGGACTCTTTTTAATCATGAGAGACAACCTTTTTTTTTTCACCCTTTATTTGACTGTCACTAGGATATTGTTGTCAGCTGAGGGACTGAAGGGTATGGGAAAGGAAATTTGTAAAATCAGGTTTCATGATAAAGGATTTATATAATCAAATAGAGGTAGTCCCCGACTTAACAGTTCATTTAGTGACTGTCAGAAGTTATAAGAAAAAAGTGACTTATGACCATTTTTCACACTTACAACCATTGCAGCATATCCATGGTCATCTGGTCAAAATTCAGACACTTGACAACTGACTCAAATTTATGACAGTTGCTGTGTCCCGGGGTCATGTGATCACCTTTTGTGATCTTCTAACAAGCTAAGGCAATGGGGAAGCCAGATTCACTTAACAGCCCTGTTACTAACTTAACAGCTGGAAGCGATTCACTTAACAACTGTGGCAAGAAAGATTGTAACATGGGGCAAAACTCACTTAACAACTGTCTAGATTAGCAACAGAAATTTTAGGCTCAGTTGTGGGACTTCCGGTTTTACGCAGTAGTGACCGGTCGCGGGCTTACGGATTCTCTGCACCCATGTGGCTAATTTTGCCCTGCCAGGGGACCCTAAATGGGTCTAAGTTGCCCCGGAGAGGCGGCCAAGAAAGAAGGGTGCCCCAGCGATTCTGGAATGGCGGTGGTTGTTCCGTTCGACTTGGGGAAAGCCTTCTAACCCGACAGGAGAAAGGCTGGCCGTACTTCATCAACCAGCCTAATCTGCTTGCAACCGAAGTCCAAAAGTACTAACCAGCACAATTGTGAACAGCGTGCTTGAAACTGGGTGAGCAATTTGATCTTCTCTTTTCTATTCTATATTTAATTTCCTGGAAAAGATCTCCATGAAGCAAAATACCTCCAAAAGGGAAGGAGGGGGATTTCCACCCCACCCTTATACTAACGGAAGCAGTGAATTAATCTTTTTATGGAGGTTCAAAATATATGGAAGTGAAATAAATATAAAACCTGAATTTTAAAACTTAAATCTGGATAAATCTAAAATTGTTGAATGGTTAAGACTCATTCTAAAGATAATTGTTCATTTTTGAAATTAAAAAACAAATAGATGCTGACACCTAGTGGTAGATGAAGACTTTAACAACAAAGAACAGCTATGACAAAAAAAGACAATAATCTGGGCTGTAGCCAAAGAGAGATTTATAAATTTCAGAAAAAAAATTTTTTGAACTATTTGGATTACAAATATCTATTTAATTGGGACTCTAAAGCTATTTCCAGAGAAAAGAAAAGAAAAGAAAAGAAAAGAAAAGGAAAGGAAAGGAAAGGAAAGGAAAGGAAAGGAAAGGAAAGGAAAACTCAAATTCTTGGCCAGGAGGAGATATATAGTATACTGCAATTAATACAAACAACACTGACTTTAAACCACAAAGAAATCCAAAATAACTTTGAAAATATAAATCAATCTATTTCCAAGTTAACTCTACAACAAAAGAATTCCTAGAAAACAACAATAGAGAAGGAGCAAATAAAACAGATACATGGATACAAAATTGAGAATAGAGACTTAAAGATGGAACTTAACAAAAGAAGGAAACATGATTTAATCCTAGTGGAAAAAAATTCACAAGAATTGGAAAAAACAACTTATCCCTGAAGACTACAAAATAAATCTGAGGACAAGAAAACAGATTAGATAAAATGGACTGTAGAGATGTCAGGAATATTGGAGAGAAAGGAAATGATAAGAGAAGCCGAGAGAAAGAAAAAGAAAAAGATTTTCAACAAACATGGAAAGGCAGAAGGCCCGTACAAAGACATTTAATCTGATTTACTTTTTATTTCTACAGTAACATTTACGAACATATGGAAAAACCTTTCGACTCAGCAAAATACATTGATTAAGAAAGATACTGGGCAAAGGAAAAAGACTAAAGTGGAAATCAAGAAAATAGATGATGGGACCTATCAGAGAGAATACGTAAAAAAAGAAACATTCGTTTGAATATGGTTAAAGAAATAGAAAAGATTTGGAATATATATGTCATTCTAAGAGGGATGAACCCCCTAAATAATATAGTATGCTTTCCCCCCCTTTTTTTTATTCTATTTCTTGATATGAGTAATATAAAAAAGTTGAAATGGCTTAGATAAAGGAAATGTTTTAGATATTTAAATGTGATTGAATTTAAGAAAATTATAATGGATAAAAATGTTTTGAATAAGAGTTAAAGGACTAGCTGACTAGATGTATTAAATGAAATATTTAAAGATTAAACATATTTTTAATTATGGGCAAAAAGAATAACAAATCTTGGAAACAAATATATAGTAGCTTAGGAGGGATATATATTTTAAGTAGTATGTTATTTTTTATGTTTCTTTATTCTTGATCTCCTTTTTTCACTGTTTTATCTATTCCTTAAGAAATGTAAAAGTGTGAGATGGTTCATATGGAAAAAATAGAGTTAAATTTTTAAATGTAATTAATTTTTGAGAAAATCTTAACCAGTAATAATACTTAGAATTTTGTGGCAGAAACAAATTAAAATAAGGACTGTAACAAGATCTATGGTAAGGCAACCAGAATGGTTGGATAGAAAAGAAATATTATATTGATGTGATTATCATTTTTAGGAATATTGGGAAAAATATATTTAATTGTTATCTATCAAAACAATAAGAATTGTATTAAATAAATGTTTGCAAAAGAGGATATTTTGGGGAAAAGAGGAAATCAACTAAAACCATTATGTGGATTATGGATTATAGAAATCAATTGTTAGTGATTGTTTTACAAATGTAAACCCAGACAACACACTGTTCACCAATTATTAAGTGATTTATGTTTTTAAAAAATCAGTAAAATATAATATAAAAAAAGAAAAAATGAAATTTTGGGCTCAGTTGTGGTTGTAAAGTTGAAGACTACCTGTTATTAATCTGGATAAGGTAGGTGAAAATCAAAGAATTTTGGGCATGGGAATAAAGGGTGCTAAATATTTTAAATCTTTCTATGATTCTGAGATAGAGTAGTGGTAATTTGCACGTGTTAACTCCGTGCAATATTTAAGGCATGAATTTTACATTTTAAAAAAATTCCGCAAATAAAACAGGCTAAAAATACCAGCTTTCTAATTATATCAGTGCTTGGCTCCTGCAAACCTCAGAGGGAAACTTCTGGCAGAATAAAGTTAACTAATCCTGTCCTTCAGAACTCATTAAAGTTCTGCTGGTTCCATGCAATTTCTTCTTACTGTACCACAAATGGAAATTAATATACTGATGATCAAGCCAACATTCAGTAGTAAACCCGATTAACTCTGTAGAACAATCATATGTTCACAGCGGTCCAAGATTTGCTGTAAGTTGTATATCTGTAATCAGTGGTGGGACTCAAATATGTGAACAACTGGTTCTCTGTGTGGATGTCACTTCCGGAAGTCCATTCTGGGCCTGGGCAACAAAAAATTAGCTACCGGTTGTGCCGAAGTGGTGCAAACTGGCTGAATCCCACCACTGTCTGTAATGTGTTACTTATGATTTGAAAACATGTGCATTCTGTCCATCATGGTAGACCCACAACTTTCTACAACTTGTGAAACAAAATTAATATATTTATTCTTCAAATTCATAATATTGTAATTCTTCCCAAGAAGTTTCTTATCCTATCTTTATAGCTTTCTCTCTTAAAGGGGTTATTTTCAACAGTATGCATGGCTTTATTTTACTACTGTATGTACTTTTCATGGGCTTAATGTGACATACTTAGTTGCTTGAAGTGAGACACAGTTAGCCATTTGGCCCTGTGTTCCAGTTTGTCTTCGGCGGGTTTACTGTCAAGCGGTTCCAAATTCACTTGGATGCTCTGAGGGCAACTATCTACTGTAATCAACTGCCAAGAAAAAAGAGAAAATAAAAATCAGCAGAAGGTCCAGAAAAATAACCATTTGAATATCACCTGGACTGCTGTCATAATTTCAGGCCCTCTAAAAGCAATGTCTGTTATCCCCATATAAACAGAGATTAGAGAGCTAAAGGGGGAAATTGCATGAATCAAACAGAGCAGAAATAAGGTACAAAAATATACATAGCCCCAATTTTTATCAAATCAAGATATTTTTTTAAAAAGTCTTTGTATGCTCCATGCATTGTACTCATTATGCAATACAAGGAGTTGACAGAAGGGAAGAAGCGATTTTGCTTATATAACGATCAGTTGCAATGGTAAAAATGTCATCAAATGTAGGATTAAAAGTCACAATACTTTGGGGAAAATCTATTCACGGGATGACATCCAGTGATTAAGCAAATAGTCCTATAAATTTGCAATCAATCTTAAAACATGTATTTTTCCTGTGGATTGTATCCTACTAATTCCAGATGACTCATTTAATCAAACATTTAAAAATTCAGAATATGATTAACAGAACAAAAAAGTTATCTCTGTGGATTAACTACTCCAAAACCTTCTGCTCTAAAATAATCTTTAGAGGAAATGAACAGCTTTTCTTTGAAAACATCTTAACTATGCATTGTAGTTTACAAATAACCATCCTCTATTTGAAGCACTAGCTTCTATTTTTGAGGACTATTTGTTCTTTGTTTTAGTAATGCACTGTCTGCAAACAATTAGATATCACCAGAAGTTTAATGACACCACACAGATCCCCCCCCCTCACAGAGACCCACACACAGAGAGATACATACACACACACAGAGCATATATATATGCTTTTTTTGTAACAAAAAGGTGCCGGAACTCACATCTTGTTAATCGCACGTAGTCAATCACTGCACATACACCCACACACGTCAGTTGTGTAACTAAACATAACGGTCGTCACCCACAGTAAGCACTCAGCGTGCGACCACATGACCAATCACAAGCCAAGCAGTGCCACAAGCCCAGCAGCCGGACGAAATATGCATGCATTGGACTCGACACACAAGCAGTCCGCAGGCACCATTTTAATGATTTTGCCGCTGCTTGATAGGGCAATTTAAGTCCCCGTGGACCAAACATCAAATTTTCAAAAGTTACTTTTAAAACTTGGAAAATCTGTCAAAAAAAGGTGCCGGAACTCTGTTCTATGACAAAAAAAACCCACTGTATACACACACACACACACACACACACACATGCACGGGCATATATACTCTGTGTGTGTGTGTGTGTGTGTGTGTGTATGTACGTATGTATATATGTGTGTGTGTATATATATATATATATATACACACACACACATACATACAGTGTGTATATGTGTGTGTATATGTGTGTGTATATGTATACATACATACATTTATGTGCGCACACAAACTCTAACAACATATAACTCTAATTCTGTTAATACCTACTGGAACTTGAAGAGTTTTTCTCTTTTTCCTTGAAGACCTCCTTTCTTTGTTTCTAAATTTTGCCTTGGCCCATACTGACTGACATAGCTGAGTAGATTTTGAAAATTCTAAGAACAAAAGGGCGGAGGAGACAAATTCATATTTCAAATAAGTCTACAAGTTTTGCACTGAAGATTTTGTTTAGAGATAAGACGTATTGTGATCAATGGGGTTTACTCTTAGATATGCCCCTTTTTAGCATCAACAGCTTGCAACACTATAGAATCATCCTCAATACAATGGCATATATAAAGTTAAGGACACTATGAAGTCAAGCAATAAAAGTGGCTTGCCGCAGACTTCTTACAGGATAGTTTCTAGCATTATTTTTAAAAACACTGATTATACATATTTATCTAGCATATATCTATTCTACAACTAAACAAGTTCAATTTTCTGTTTAGTCATAGAATAACACATATTTTTTTTTTATTTTGTGTGTATAACAAAATATTTAGTATAATTTCAACATGCTAATATTCCATACATTTCCTTCTCTGCCATATTTGTAACTACTTATTTAATTATAAATATTGATACGCTGCCCATCTTAAACAACTCCAATTGGTTTACAATTTATTTTCCTCTTTTCATGCTTCTGTTTTCCAAACATAACAGACTATCATCTGCATTGTAAGGCCTGACCATGAATGATGTAGATGTAAACCCAATCTATAGAGGATAGTTTGGGGAAAGCTGAATTATCACAATTAGTCCTCACATTATGCTAAGGCCTAATTAAGGGTCGTCAAGTTTTTTTTCTTTTGTAGACAAAAATATGAGAGGAGGGGAATGGAGAGGAGAGAGGAATGAAAATGGAGTGAGAGTGGGAGTGGGAGTGGGGAGAGGAGAGGAGGGGAGGGGAGGGGAATGGGAATAGGGAGAGGATAGGGCAAAATCTTGGAGCTTAATAACATAGGTGTATGGAGGAAGAGTGTCAAATGGCATTTCATATGTCATTATAGTATTGCATATACTTATATACCATTATAATTTCATTTGTCCTATGGTTTCATAAAGTGTGTCCCATTATTGTAGTGTTATTGCATACTATTCTAAGACACAATTAATGTCATTCATGCCTGCAGTTGCCATCTTGCTGATAGTTGAGGTAAGATGGTTCTGTTCATATAACCTGACAAATTAAAACCACATGGCACACATTATTGCTTAGGATATTGTTTGAACCCAATCACTGAGTAATATTGATTTAAATTATTTGTATCCTGCCTTCTATACACACACACACACACACACACACACACAGAGAGAGAGAGAGAGAGAGAGAGAGAGAGAGAGAGAGAGAGAGAGAGAGAGAGAGAGAGAGAGAGAGAGAGAGAGAGAGAGAGAGAGAGAAAAGAAGGCAGAAAAATTCAAATACAGAAAATACTGGGTATATATAGGTATTCCTTGACTTACAACCACATTGGGACCAGATTAGGCAAGGTGGTTGTTAAGTGAGTTGCAGCCAATTTTATGACTATTTTGCCATTGTTGTTAGGCTAATCACTGCAATTGTTAAGTAAAACATGCCATCATTGTTAATCTGGCTTCCTCCACTGATTTTGCTCATCAGTGGTCAGCTGGGAAGATCACAAATGGCAACCCCAGGATGCTGTACCCATCGCAAATGCATCCATTGCCAATTGCCCAAATTTTGATCCTGTGCCCAAGGGCATGCTGGACGGTCATAAGTGTGATGACTGGTTGTAAGTCTTTTTTTTTCCAGTAACCTTGTAACTTCAAGGTTGCTAAATCAATGGTGGTAAGTCAAGGGCTACCTGTAAATGCAACAGAGCTTCTCTGTTTGAAGATGAAAGCATAAGAAGAGGAGGAAACTCAAATTTGTGTGGTTATTGCCTTTTATTTTGCAGGTTTTTGCTGTTTTCTCAGCACCACGGCCACAAAAGCTGCTCCCTTTGCAGAAAGGCCAATTTCTCTTGAGAGGATTGATCCAGACAGACATGCTGCGCTGGAAAGTGAGGTGAGACGGTGGGCTGTCACTACTGTATTCTGATATGTCAGAACTGTACGAGAAGGATTTGGATTCCTTGATCTGCACGTGTGGAGGACTGCAACTGCCGTCTTTGTCATGGACCGAATGCAGGCAGGCTTGCTGTCTTGACTGATTGCCCTCATCTCTCTTTTCGTTGTCATCCAAGAAGCCCCAATTTACATAACCTTTTCCTGGTCCCTCACAGTGATAATGAGTAGACTGAGCGATCTCACTGATGCTATTAACCGCATGGATGGACAAATGCCGTTCAGCAGTAGTTTCATTCTCTTTCTTAGCCAGGGAAATGTTCAGTTCCTGCACTTGGCTGATAACCGGCATTGTTTCGGCCGCCTCATTGGCACTGCATACATGACATTGAGGGACAGTGTCACTCTGCTTCGTTTCGTCTTTAGCTTTTAAGTCCTCATCCTTAAGCTCATTCAGAGTAGTTGAAAAGGCCAAACTTAAACCAGCATCTTCAGAAGCTCCTTTCTGATCCGGAGGCACAAGAAGAAACTGTCCGTATCTAGAGCCTGATTTATTCCCCGAAGATAACTCCGATGTCAGAATGCCGTTTTCAACTTCCTGTTCTTGATCTTTCTTGATTAATTGGATTTCACTATAGTTTAGGGTGCCAAAAATGGGACAGTTCCCTCCTAGTGACCAATGGCTTCTGGCTAGGTTTCTCTGAAGAGAAGTTGGCATACTGTAGTACTTGTACTTGATACTGCCACTTTCCATACAACTCAAATCCTTTGAACACAGAGTGTTGCTCCAACTATGTGGAAGCTTCCTACAGGTCTGGTGCTTCTGTTCAGAGAGAAAGGCTTCGCCTTCTTGCAAAGTATCCACAGCTGAAATGACTTTGAGAGTATCAACCGTTAAAACTGAGAGGTCCTGTAAGTGTCCCAGTTGGCTGTCCAAGGCAAGCAAAGCATCTTTGATATAAATTACTTTCTCATGAATTTCCTTCAGCTGTGAAAACATTTCTTGAACTCTAGGGGAAGAACATCCAAAAATTATATTCCTATGCATGGTTCACTGCACTAAATGAATGTATTTTACTGTATTTTCCAACCGGAATATTAGACACTCATTAGATATGAGATCAAATTGTTGACCACTAGCATTTTCTACCCAATAACTCTTGATTACTGCAAGGTATTTACGATTCATAGAATAGCTTGTCATAAATGTGAATATCTGAGATACATTTAAATGGTTTGCAGTCTGCTAAAACAATTTCACTGTCCAAAATTTGGTCTATGTCAGTGGTGGCGAACCTATGGCATGGGTGCCAGAGGCGGCACTCGGAGCCCTCTCTGTGGGCACACATGCTGTTGCCCCAGCCTTGCCTCCCCCCGTGACCCCCTCCTCTCCAGCAGCTACCCTGAAGGAGAGTCGCCCGAGCGTGGCCCATGTGGAGCAGCGCAGCCAAGGACATGGCAGCCAGGCAGCGTAGACAAGACTCTGCCCTCACACCCCATTGTGCACAGTTAATGCTGCAGGGCACGGACAGAGGATGTGACCACCATAGTGCTGCTGGGCTGCCTGGGTGATCTGCAGCGGGCCTTGGAGGCAGTGAGTGGCCCTGCGGGCAGGCGGGGTGAGGGATGGGGGGTGGAGTGGGGGCAGGGCAGGGCATGGAGCAGGGGCAGGGGTAGTTTTTGGGCACTCGGTCTCTAAAAGGTTCATCATCACTAGTCTATGTGATCATTTGAGTAATAGAATAGTATTTGTTCAATATAATTCAGCATAACTCAAAATTTAGTTGAATAAATCTTTGTTTTCTGCATTAAACTGAAGAATGCCTAAAGAATTTAACAGGATATCGTAGTAGCTTAAGGAATTTATTCATTTTTTTTCCCAGAATGACCTTACATATTATTCATTTTTGTTCCACTATATTGCATAATACAATAATGAAATATTTAATTAATATTTAAATATTTACGACCAGTTCTGAAGTTCAACATGATTTTATTGCCAAAAATTAAGAGGGGCAGTTCAAAATGGCAAGATTTGAAAGGTTTGCATACATGACCTGGTTCTTTTATATATGACATTGCATACATGAACAAAAGGGGGGATCCATTGCGATGCTGTGACTGGCATTTATAAATTTTGGACCCTCCCCCATCAATATCATTGTTGCTAGGTATCAAAAGAAGTATTATTATAAGACATGCCCTACCTTTCATTTGTAACACGGATCTGTTCACTATCGCTGAAGTGAAAGCTTTCTTTCTTTTCATGTAAGTACTGTTCGACACACTGTTCTTCAAAATCATGAAGCTTTTTTAATTCTTCATCACTCAGGTACAGTTCTGGGTAAAGCAATAACAAATCAATTTTACTTGTGTTGGTTTTAAATAACCCTAGTGATCAAACATGTGGCAGAAACGTATCAGTTGAGGTGGGTGAACCTTTCAACAGTGTTGATTAACTGCTAATAGGGAGTGGTAAAATGAAACTTGAGACAATGACATGTGAAGACATAAGTTGTATAGAGTGACTGGATGCCATCTTGTTTTGTTCTGTATTGTGTTTTATTGTTCATTATATTGTGAGTCATCCAGAATAAAATAAATAAAATCCTTTTCTCTTCCGTTGTAGTTTCCATTAATGTGTTATACGCCCAACACACCCGCATACACACAGATCACATATAGTCTGTCCCTCATATTTTGTTAAATAACGGATGATATTGAAAAAAGTTATTTTCTTTCCTGCCTATAAAGACTGCCCTCCTTAAAGAAGGCAGTAGTAAACTCAAGGGAAAAAAGATAATATAATGGTATTACCAGGGACTAGTACACTTGAACAAAAGTTGTTCAACGTATTCTGGAAGCCATAGCCTTCCCTTCTAAACAATCTAGTTCATGCTGGGAGATGATGATAAAATTAGTTTTATCATTACAGGGCCTGTATGGAATAGATAGAACATAATATTTGAAGACCAGGATCGAACTGTACGGTCCTTGGTGCCCTCTGAGCTTGGTGGTTTTCTTGCAGACACTTCATTACCAAACTAGGTAACATCATCAGTGCACTGATAATGGTAATTGGTAATTAAATGTCCACACAAAAAAATAAGCTCAGAGAACACCAAGGACCCCGCCTCTCTGGAACACAGCATGTTTTATCAACCGAGTGGTATAGCTACAATCCCATTTGATTAGAAACAACTTCGACTGAACATGATTTACACCTTTCAGTTGGAACTAGGATGCTGGTTATAATCATAATCTGTGAATTCTTCTTTGGAATTGCACCAAAAAAAAAAACCACAACAACCCACATGAATGCTAGGTGGTAGAGAGGAATGCAATGTGCAACGAAATTCCCTCAGTTAGAAACAGGTGATCTTGATTACATTCTGAGAGTCCTTAAAGACCTGGCTGATGTCCCAGGTCTTGTTTTTCTTCTACCTGGTTTCTTCTCCCTGGTTATTCTGTGCTTTGCACCTCTTGTTTGATATGGCATATACACTATTTGCATATATTTTGATGTTAGTTGGTCAAATTTTCCATCTTACTCATTTATTTATTGTACGCTGTATCTTGTTCTTTTACACTGTGCCAACATGGACTACAACAAATACATAAATGAACAGTATTTTTAGAATTCTGCGGCAGGCCTGTTTTAATATCATCGTTCAAGGAAGAATGCATAATAAAAAGGACAGCAGGAGTCCTCGGGTTCTGGATTTAAAAGCACCTGTTTAGACAGAGTTTAGGTTCTTATGATGGCGCAGTGGTTAGAATGCAGTAGTGCAGGCTACTTCTGCTGACTCCCGGCTGCCAGCAGTTTGGCAGTTCGAGTCTCATCAGCTCAAGGTTGACTCAGCCTTCCATCCTTCTGAGGTCTGTAAAAATGAGTCCCAGATTGTTGGGGGATGCTGACCCTGTAAACTGCTTAGAGAGGGCTGTAAAGCACTGTGAAGCGGTATATAAGTCTAAGTGCTATTGCTGTTGCTTATTTGACAATACCTATAATCCCACAATTAGCAGTTGGAATGCCATTATGGGTTTTTTTAATGACATATATATTTGGTCCTTGTATAAGAAATATAAACGTAGATAGAATCTGCTTACTGAGTTCAACATGCTCTTCCTCCTCTTGATCCAGTTCACTGGGCAGCCGGCGGTTGCAAAGGCAATTTAGCACAATACCAATGTGGCTCAATATGATGAAAGGGGGTGGCAGCCATGGCTTTTCATGGTATGTCATGATATAGCGGTAACGGTTGTATTTCCAGAGTTTGTTTGACATAGACTTCATATCAAAATAAACATTACTGTGGATTAAGAAGGAAAGGGAGAGGGTGGGTTGATATGACCCCTTTATAAACCATAAACTTTATAACCATTGAAATGTTACATGGTATTTATTTAGACAGCACTTAAATTATATTTCTATGGAACAAGAAGAAATACAGGGTAGTCCTCAACTTGCAACAGTTTGTTTAATGACCGCTCAAAGTTACAACAGCATTGAAAATAGTGAGTTATGACCAGTTTTCACACTCATAACCATTGCAGCATCCCTATGGTCACATGATCAAAAGTCAGACACTTGGCAACTGACTCATATTTGTGACAGTTGCAGTGTCCCAGGATCAGGATCTGTGACTTTCTGACAAGCAAAATCAATGGGGAAGCCAGATTCACTCAACAACAGTGTCCTTAATTTAACAACCCCAGTGATTCACCTAATAACTGCAGGAACTGGGGTAAAAGCCACTTAACAAATGTTGCACTTGGTAACAAAAATTGGGAGCTCTGTTGAGGTTGTAAATCAAGAACTACTTGTATACCTTTTAAAAAACATAAATGGTGATTATATTCTTGATGTTTTTGCTAATCATTTGATTGTTCCTTTGCAACTGAGCCATGTACTGTATATCTCAGAGAAAAAAAAAGTATGACTCTGATAAGAAAGACACCAAATGAAGTTTGTTTGTTTGTTTGTTTTTTAAGAGTTTCCTTTTTATGTCAAAGGTCTTGCCTGTCACCCAATGGTAATTATCATAAAGCCTATGAAAGTAAAAAAAATATTCCTAGAGATGTATACAAAGCCAATATGCAAGCAAGAATCTGCTGAAAAAATGTTCAGTATTGAACTCATTTGTCAGGCATGGACAGCATCTAGTAAGAAAAAGCACGATCAGCGGCTTGGACTTACTATGCTTTTTCTCCTAAGTTGTGTCTTGGACTCTATAAATTATAGCTGAAGTAAGCTGATTTTTACTTCTATAAATTTGTAAGCTAGATAACTACCAATACTAAGAACAAAGTATCCATGTTAATACCCTATGGTTGTGTCTGGACTATAATACCGGAATTTTCTTTGGAACTTTAATTCCAAAATGTCTTAAGATCATCAGGATAGGGATAGTTGATCCTGGGTACTTACTTGAAGAAAGCAATAAGTAGATTGACCATGATGATGTATTGTACAAAGAGGTACACTGCTTGAAGAAATGGTGTGAGGAACGAGCCTGGAGGACAGTTTTGATCTAATTCACAAGCTGAAAAAAAATATAAAAGAACCCCTATAAATCTGTCTTTTGAATACTAACATAATGACACATCCATTCATGAATTAAGAGACTCAGCAGGTTTAAACCAAATAATGAAGTTTAGCCAATTTGATGGTAGTAAATTAGCCATAAATGAACTACTTCCAACCATTTTCCGTATAATTATTTCTTTTATTTTCCACAACGAAAGACAAATTATGTATTTACAGAATTAAAAGTTAATGACACCTGGCCAGAGGACAGAAAAATTCTTAGAAAGACACATATAATCTCACAATGTCTGTTCTATGTTTAAAAGGGTTTAAAGTCAGAGCAGCAGGTGGAAGCATCTGGAAATTATTGAACTATGATCTCATTAGAGATTATAGTATAATAATATTTAAGGTATAGTGCAATCTAAGATATCTAATCATCTACCTAATCATCTAGTTTTTTAGCCTATCTTTCTTTCTTCCCCTAACTTTCCTAGCTGGGAAAGTCAATCATCAAAGTCAGAAAGGATGAGGAAATGGGATATTTTTTATTGTTTATCCAGATATTAGAGCTTTTCAGTGCAGTGAAATTGGAGAACAATGAAATTATGCTTCATTTGTATCACACGTTACAGAGAACAATTAAAACAACATGTTCCACTGATCATTATTACAAGCCATATAATAAGTGGCTGTGTTAATAAGTAAGTTATGCATTTATTTATTGTTTTATTTTCTCAAATTTGTATTTCAAAAGAACTGACCCTGGGTGGCATACAGAAATTCTACTATTAAAGCATACTGACTACAAATCCATTAAAAACAACTAAAATAATAAATGTAAATAGACAGAAGATTTACATGAATGTGATTTCATTTACATGAAATTTAAATGCAACTTTTCAACAACAGCAGACATACCATCAATTTCTCCCGCATATACCTCACCAAATATCATCCAATATGGCTGAAATACAATATCTCGTGCAAGAGTCCATGATGGCTGCTCATTCGGAGACAGTATTGCTTTTCGTGCAACGCCAAAACTTAAGAGTACTATGGCCATCATAATTACAATATAGAACATGTTTGCTGTCTGTAATGAAAACAAAATCAAGGTATCATAGTAGCAAGAATTTTAAAGCAAAGACAGCCTCTGTTGTTGTGTTTAATAAACCCTGATTGTGCAATCTATTAAAAAACTATATAAAAGCATCTTACAAGAAACAGGCTTGCTAATTGTTCAATAAACCTGAATGATGATGATGATGATGATGATGATGATGATGATGATGATGATAATAATAATAATAATAATAATAATAATAATAATAATAATAATACCTTACTCAGAACTGCCTATATACTCAGACGTTACCTTAACAGCTCTTAGGTCCTTGTTAAGACTTGAACTGTTAAGTTTTTACCAGAAACAGACTGTGAATTGAATTGAAGATGATGATGATGATGATGATGATGATGATGATGATGATGATAACAACAACAACAACAACAACAACAACAATAATAATAATAATAATAATAATAATAATAATAATAATAATAATAATAATAATAATAATGTGATTTATTGTCTGACAATTTCCAATCAAATTAATGGGCTTTTCATAAATTCTTCCCCCAACATATTGGAACATTTAATTCACTCATTCCTCAAATAATTAAATAAGTCAGAAATTCTTTGTTTAGCATATTGTTCAAATTTAGGATCCTGATTTGTTATTCTCAATGAATCCAAGATTCATCCGAGAGAAGGAAAAGAGAGACAGGGTAAGAGAGATTGCCAATATACTTGTGTTAATACATAAGGCTGAATAAATTTCTCATTATATTAACAGGAGGTTCCAAGTGGGAGCAACATCCACCAAAACATACCTTGTATATCGACAGTAAGTCAAGTGTCCTTCATGATCACATTTTATTATTCCATATGAATATCTGATCCAGTACTGCTGTAGACTACAACTTTATTTATTTATTTGACTTTTATCTCACCTTTATTATTGTCTATAAATAACTCAAAGTGGCAAACATACTAAATACTCCTTCCCCCTCTTATTTTTCTCACAACAACCCTGTGAGGTGGTTCGGGCTGAGAGAGATTGTCAGGCCCAAATTCACCCAGCTGGTTTTTCATGCCTAGAGCAGGACTAGAACTCATGGTTTCATGGTTCTTAGGCCACTTGGAGAATTATTAAAGCCAATCCTCATTAAGAAATGGTGCTCTGAAGTGAAATAATTATTCATAATAGCGCCCAATACCACTTACCATTTTGCCGATCATTGTCAGATAGGGGCCAGCATGCTGATTCACCGCAAAAAAATCAAGAAGTCGAGCATACCAGAATATTATGTCCAGACAATAAATTAACCTTCCTATTGTTTGAAGTGGAGGATTAGCCCAGCGCAAACCAAAACCAGTCATGAACAGGATGATAGCAATAAAGTCTGTAAAATTCCAGTATTCATAAATCCATACTTTCACCTTTTGGATGAACTTGCTTGGCTCTGAAATAAAAATCTAAAGGCAGAATGATTTGTTATAATATTACTATATAAACAAAATTATGTATTTCAACTGCGTGACACAAGGCACAGGAAAAATGATACCCCATTTGACTTTTGATTCATTGCAGTGCAAACACCCAATACTTCTACTACACTTACACAATAAATTTTCTCCAGAAATGAAATAATTATCGTCAGCATCACCTGTATGTTGCCATTTGCTATATTTATTTTTTCACCCATAAAACACAAATTATAATGCTTTAATGACTACAAATTATCAACTTGAAATAGTTATGTCTTTACATTGTATGTAAACCTATTTTAAGTTTAAAAAGATCTGTGCTTATTTTCAGTGTAAACGTTTTGCCAAATATGGGTTATTTCTGAAAAGAAGAAAATTTATCCTGATTCAGATTTGTTTCAGATCAGGCAACAGTGTCTTCTTAGAGAGCTACCATATACACCAGCGGTTCTCAACCTATGGGTCGCGACCCCATTTGGGGTCGATCGACCATTTCACGGGGGTCGCCAAGCAAGGCTGTCCACCATTTTTTTCCCCCTTTTCCGGCGGGTGCCTTACCTCCCTTGAGCTGGGCCAGCTGGTGGTCGGCCTGCTCCGTCTCTGCCGCTTGCCAGCTACACCTCGGCTGGCACAGGGGGCAGAACCACGCATGCGCGGCGCTCCCGGGCAGGGAAAGTCCTCGACTTACGACCGGTTGGGTAGTCCTCGACTTACGACCGGTTTAGTCCTCGACTTACGACCAGTTTAGTCCTCGACTTACGACCGGTTTAGTCCTCGACTTACGACTGGTTGGCGGTCGCGGCATTAAAAAGGTTGAGAACCACTGATATACACAGATGACACATATTGATCTTCACCTGATACATTTTATTTTTCTGCTTCCTTGATTTTCTATTGCAAATACTTGAATAGTAAGTGGATGTCTAATTACTTTGTGTGTTCTTTATTCTTCGAACAGTAGGAATGTTACATCTAATTTACTCATGGATTTTTCTCAGGTTTAATGTTGTTTATGTTCTTTCCTTGGAATTCTTGAAATTTGAAATTTTCTTTATGGTAGACGCAATCATGCATCATTCATTCTCTTATTTTTCCCAGTTAATCTTCCTCCATAGCTTCAAGGAGGATTTATCCATTATCTATCACTTCATTGCAACAGAGCAATGTGAGGAGTAATCTTTATGTGTAAAATGGTAACACTCAAATACCTTGACAAGTTCACTTGCACATAGCTCATATTTCTCCCTGGGGTTCACCTCTAAATAATAATATCTTCATAATCATTTTGAAATTTTTGAAATGCCTTGACGCTGAAGCATCCCCAGTACACCAGGGGGCTCACATCAGGATTATTGATCAACCACATATCAAGATCAAGACCAAGATCACAAAATTAGTATTGTACGAAAATTCATCTCCTCGTCTTCATGAGGAGAATAAAATATTTGCAGACAGAAGTTTTAAATTGAAAGTTGTAAATTGAAAGTTGTAAAATGAAGTTGTAAATTGAAAGTCTAAGATATGGGCTATTTTTCAAGAGCCCATATCTTAGAATTTCAATTTACAAATTACCTGTGAAAGTATTCATGGTCTGAGATTCAGAAGCACATACATGAAGGTTGCAGATAAAAGAGACTATAAATTCCTTGGACTAGAAAAGCTTTCTTTTGCATGTAGATTATGCAAGAACAACAACAACAAAATGATAATGAAATTGTGTTCTTATTGCTTTAAATATTTTTAGAAAATAGTAAGTGGTCTACGATTCCTAAAAGTCATTATTATCCCTGATCAAGACTAATTGTTTTGATGATTAATAGATATTTGCAACTTTGGAAAAATGATTAGGGTAGCTAATTGACACGATGGTACAAAGAATCCCTCAATGAAACATTGGAAAACTGGTTGGGGGTCTTGGCAGAAGGTACAATTGAAATTATTCAATTTACTCAAATTTCTCAATCAACCGCTATTCAAAAACACTGTATCTCAGATTTTTGTCTGTTCTTCCAACTGAAACATATTTCTATTTCTATGTCTATTTGTTCTCTGTTTCATTAGAGGAGGCATATAGTTATACATGTGTTTAAAATATATCTAGTACTCCGGCAAAATGAAATGTTAATAAACAGCATATAAAACCAAGAAAGCAAAAGGGAAACCAAAAGAGTTTTGGTCAAGTGAAGTATGAATTAATAAATTAGTTTTATTCTGATACAAAAAGAAAAAAAAACAAATTGTTGCCATTTTTAAAAGGCATGCCAATCCTGAAAGGAGACATTTTTTGACATTACAAGAAGAAAAAAATAGCGTTGTTTTTTTCTGGAACAATTAGAGTGCCCTTCAGGGCTTTTTCAGCAAGGCAAATTGTGAACTGGAATCTTTGGAAGGTCATAAAAAAGATTTCTTAACAAATTATACCTTACAAACTAATTATACACAGCTATGATCGTGCTGATAAGCTGCAAACTGAAAGAGTGAGGTTAAAATGTTTGCCTCCAACCAAAAAATGGACAAATATATAAATGGCTCTATGTGTACGAGTCCCATTGAATTGAAAGATACTATTAGAAAGGATACTAATATTTAAAGAAATGTTGGTTAGGAGTTAGCAATTATTTGATACAATCTAAGAGGCAAATGTCTCCACACTGCAGAGAGCAAACACATGTGAGGTTAATTATGCATACGTAAAATACAACATCCTGCAAAATTGTATTTGGTAAACCAAGAACCAGTGCATAATACTGTTTCATAAAGTAATACTATAGATTCACAATTACTTGCTCCATGAAAGCCTGATCTCTAGCACACACATAAACAACATTTAGTTAATTTATACACTTAGGACTGAATTTTTTTAGGGCAGGATGCACAACATTCCTTGGGCAAAACATGATCTTTAAATAGCAGGGTAAAGATTGCACTCTGAAAAGAAGGAGGCAAAAGCAGGATAAAAAAAGTACATTTGATTTCTATTTGTGGTACATACTGGTATTTGCCTATTGCATTTTAAATTATAATTAGGTAACGTTGTTTGGTTCGGGGACCAAATGCATCAGCAAAAAGCTGAGCAGCCTAAATGGCTCCTTCCATCCTAATTCTGTGAAATTAGGGGGAAGGGGAGTACTGCAAAACAAAAAATGCTGCCCACATTTGTTAATTGCTGCTTTCAGATGTACTTGGTTTTTCCTCTCAGCCACCTAAAAGGAGAGATTGTTGAAAGGCTGCATTCCCAATGCACGTTTTCGACTCCTGTTCAGTTTTGTTTTTGCAAAATATGCAATATTAATATTTTTCAAGAAAAAAGTAAGTCGATTGAAAATTCCTTCAGATTTGTTTGGTCTTTCATATCTAGGTAGTCCTCGACTTACAACAGTATTCATTTAGTGACCGATCAAAGTTACAACGGCGCTGAAAAAAGTGACTTATGACCCGTTTTTCACACTTATGACCGTTTCAGCATCCCCATAGTGATGTGATCAGAATTCAAACTCTTGGAAACTGACTCATATTTATGACGATTGCAGTGTCCCAGGGTCATATTATCACTTTTTGCAACCTTCTGACAAGCAACCTTGTCAGATTCTCTTAACAACTGTGTTACTAACTTAACATCTGCAGTGATTCACTTAACAACTGTGGCAGGAAAGGTCATAAAATGGAGCAAAGCTTACTCAGCAACTGTTTTGCTTAACAACAGAAATTTTGGGCTTAATTGTGGTCGTAAGTCGAGGAATACCTATAATTGTACATATACCTGGATGTATTTGTATATAAGAATTAACTACAGCAATACCTTTAGCATCAAATAAAGGGCATACCTCTCTGACTTTCTCAATGGAGGTAGTAAAAATGTAGATGATCACAAGCCATTCCTGCGCACTGGGGGTTGGTTTCATCTTCACCAGGATTGTGTAAGTAAACAGCATGAGAAAGACTAAATAGGCCATCTAGCAAATATACAATAGACATTGTAAATATACAATATACAATAGCAATTATACAAAAGACAGCTATGACAAAAATGAGCAACTAATGGTTTACAGCAGGGATAGTCAATCTTGGCTCTTTTATGACTCGTGGACTTCAACTCCCAGAATTCCTGAGCCAGCTAAGCTGGCTCAGGAATTCTGGGAATTGAAGTCCACGAGTCATAAAAGAGCCAAGGTTGACTACCCCTGGTTTACAGCATCGCAAAGCATTGTTATGCCATCATTCCTTCACTTGGCTGAACTGGATATTATGAACAGTAAGTCCATAGAACCAATGCTGATATTTTGAAAGATTGAATCATAAATATAATATCAGCCAACTAAAGCAAAGGTGCAGATTCATATTTAGTAATCTTATTGTCTTATCAATGCAACATTGATAAGACAAAAGTCCATATCATTATTTCAAATAAGTTCATTTTGCAATATATTTGGCTACTAGAAAATCTAAATAAATGAGTAAAATAAAATTCAATCAAGTAACTACTTAAAATGCCAACATTCTCATTCTCTCTCATGAATAGGTCTGTTTCAGTGGCATGCAGAGGGACTGAGTTATCAATACACATTGTGGTAAAATGTTCAGTGCAATATCAATAACTGACCGTGTGGAACCAGAACTTGACAATAGGGGCGTTGTAGAATTCATAGATTTTCCTAGTCCCAAGAAGGCTTTGTGGTTCATTGTTGTTGGGGAAAGTCTGTTTTTCAGCTTGCTTCTCAACCTCTTTCTCAAAATCATAATTGTTCTTTCAAAAAAAATGTAATGTTTAAATTAGTTGCCATCCAACTAAATAAATGAATTCCAGTATATGTAAATAAGCAAATATTCTGAATGAATCAACCCAGTGTCAATATTTCGGAATTGGTGGGATGCAGGCAACAGTATGTTGGCTTGCAAAGCAGTCTCTATAGATCCATCTTACATAGACTGGAATGAATATGCTTTGTTTGGGATTTCTGGGGAAGAAATGGTAAAGTGAAGACAGGTCTGCTAAAAATGGAGCCTACGACCTCATTCAAACAAAGACTCAATAAATAGACTGGCTCTTTATAATTCCTCTCTAGACAAGTCCTCCTCATGAAAAAACCGCAAGAAAGCGATTGACAGTGAGTTTAGTGCTCTAAGACATGAGGGACTACAAGTATTCTCTTTTATTAATACATAAACCCGCCCCACCAGATATGTCAAACTTTCTAAACCAGGGGTTTCAAACTCGCAACGTCACATGACATGTCGCGACGTATCGTGACTTTTTTTTCCATTGCCGGCAATGGGGTGGGCGCAGTTTCAGCATGATGCATCTGGCCCGCGGGCCGGCAATTTGACACCCCTGTTCTAAGCTTTAGATTTTTCTTGTGATACAATATTTAGACCAGAACATTTCCTAACAAAAATAAATAAATCTGCTTTTATTAAATCCAATAAAATAAAAACCAAACCTGCTTTACATACTCACCAATGATAGGTTATCTTTTCCATTGGTGGTGTTAGGATCACCATGATACCATGTGAATTGGTGGGACTCTTGCGACTGAGGCACATGGGACATTTCAGCCTTGCTTTTAAAGTCCAGCATCAAGATGGTCGGAGGTAGAAGAATACTTAGAATCACCTGAAAGAGTATCAATTATTTTTTACTATGAATGGCTTTTTTATTCTTATTTAATATTAGATTAATAGTTATAGTAATAAAGATAATAATATAACATAACATAACATAACATAACATAATATAATATAATAGTAGTAGCAATAGTTATTATTGAACAATAATTACACAGCAGCTTTTAAAAAGCAAATCTCATCCTGACATCCTATTTTTGGCATTTAAAACTTACCAAAGATTATCCTGGCTAGTCTAATCCAATATTTTGCACTGAAGCTAGTCTGATCACTGCTCAACTAAATTCACCTGATTGCAAAAATAACATTTAAAATATCAACGGCAGGGCCATTATAGCCATGATTGGAGGGACTGCAGTGCTTCAACCTTTTGCCCTCCTTGCGATCCTGATTGGTCTGGAGACTAGAAATTTCCTGTTTGGATTGGAGGGAAAACTGTGTTCATATGACAGGTTTTATCTTATGGACACTCTCTCTCCAGAAGTATGGGTGGTGCCCACCATGCTGCAGTTCCATAAACTGTTTTATTTCAGTGCACTTTGGTTCCAACCGACTGATTTATGGATGCCTACCTTGGGTTTTATTTGTTTTATTTATTGAGCAGATGTTCATACCAACACTTGCATGCCTCTGGGTCATTTATAGATAAAACAGTAAAATGATATAAAAACTATAAGTAAACACAACTTAAAAACCACATTAAAATATGTATTTATGTTTTATATATAAATGTATTGTATATTTTATATATATTTAACCGTGTCTGTGTGTACGAGCACACCTGTGTGGTTTATCTTTATATATTTATTTGATTTCTAGAGCCATCCCTCTCAGCAAGTGACTGACTGCCATACATCATAATGCATAAAAACAGTTAAACGATTACAATAATGCAAGATACAAAAAGACACACAACCAAGTCTTCATGGCCTGGCAAAAGGCCAACATGGCTGAGGTCATCCTGATATAAGATAAGATAAGATAAGATAACCTTTATTGTCATTTTGAAGGGAGACTATTCCAGAAGGTAAGAGCTATAACATAAAAGGCACATTCCTTAGCTGAGAGGACTTTCAACCTGAACTGAACTGGTAGAAACACCCAGGAGAAATCTTCCCTTAAAAAAACCAGCCCCAAGCCAGGAAGGGCTTTGTAGGTGATAACGAGCATCTGGAAACACACAGGCAACCAATGCAGCTCTCGAAGCAGTGATGTTATGTGTGTCAAATACATTCACAAAAATAGACCTGGCAAATGCAGTTCATGATTGGGGAAGAAAATTGTTTTATATCCATGTCTTAATACTACACATGAAGATAAGCCAGCAAAATTCAGCGGCCATTACAGACATATATAGGTTTGAAGATTAGAAAAAAATAGGTAATAGAAAAAATAAAAGCCAGTTTGATCTAGTAGTTAAGGCACCAGGCTAGAACCAGGAGAACAAGAGTTCAAGTTCACCACAGCCATGAAATGGCTGAATGATCTAGGGCAGAGATCATTCTCGGTTGGCGGACTGGAGGGAAAGGGAGCGGGAAGCATTTTGTGCATGCACACACACACAAACGGGGCCGCAAGCACGAATGATGCAAATAGGGTGGTGCTAGCGCCCGTGTAACACTCACTAGAACTGCCCTGTTTTTGCGATGCAGGCACTAGCATCACTCTGATTTCGCCGTGCGGCACCCCATTTTGCTACATGGAGCCCCATTTTCATAGCGGCAGCACTAACGTGACAGGAGTGAGTATGCGCACATCTGTGTATGCACTGGCCAACCTGTCCTGCATCCCAGTGGCCAGCAGGTCACGGCCCAGTAGTGGACTGCAGCCCAGAGGTTGGGGACCCCTGATTTAGGGCCAATCTCTCTCTCCCTCCCCCCTCTTTCTGTCTCTGTCTCAGCCCAGCCCACCTCACAGGATCATTGTTGTGGGGAAAATAGGAAGAGGAAAGTGTGTTGGATATGTCTGCCTCCTTGAGTTATTTGTAAAAATAAAGGCTGGATACAAACAAATAAAACAAATAAATAAAATAAACCTTAGAAAAGAGGTCAATTTGAATTTATACTGTTGTGAAAGAAAACTGACTTCTTTATATTTCTTTTTCTTTCTTTCTGCACTTTTTTCTGTTTCTTATGTTAGTTATTTTTTTATTAGTGTTTTCTCTTTTTAATGAAAAAAATCCAATAAAATTTGCTTACAAAAAACAAAGTTACTGTGAAACAATCAAATGTAGAAGTGCTATAATCTACGTTTATTTTGGCAGCAGTGGCAAAGGACTTCTGTGAGACTGAGAAACATAAATGAGTTTTATGTTACAAGAGTACAGAGTCCATTCCTTCCCCACCATAATCCCAGGAGGAAATGTTTTTGAAGAGATAACCAACAATTCAGGACTTGAGAAACAAGAAAGAGTGCCTTATATGTTACCACTGAGTTCTCATTTGTTTGTTGTGTCAGAGAAATTACGTGCAGTTTGTCTCCTGCATTTTTGTCGCTTCATCAGATCTTGACATTTAAGACACCTGGTGCCACCAGAATCTGAAAAAGTATGCATGGATGTAGGCAATTACGGCCCCTTTACGACCTGTGGATTTCAACTCCCAGAATTCCTGAGCCAGTATGACTGGGTCAAGAATTCTGGGAATTGAAGTTGACGGGTTGTAAAGGGGCCATAGTTTTCCATCCCTGGAATAGATGTATGTATGAAAATGATTAAACTTTAGCAGCTATTACCTTGGAAGGAGGTTAGGTGATTGACAAATGGGACAAACAGGATAGAAATTGTAATGGGGCAGCTAATTTCTCAACAGCTTTTTGGAAAGACCAGGACAAGTGGACAATATTACGAGATTATCTCAGCAATGAGGGCTTTCTCCTTTGAAACTAAAACCACTGAACTAAAATGAAGGAAGCCTTCATATAATTCCATTCTAAGCACCTCCAATTGTGTAGCCCAAGGCTGGAGAAATGCTTTCGGTTTAGACAAAGAATAAATTGTTTACCTTAAACCAGGAATTCTTTCTTATTTTCAGACGCCCCATCCACATGTCAGTCAACAGCATCTGGGTGCATGTGTGAGACACAAAAGGTCGCAAACCCACTGACACTGCCAGTTTCAGACATGTTGAGTTACTCCAGTTCTTCAGCTCATATGTCAACAGCTTCATGGCCATCTGCTCATTTTGTTTGAATGCATTATCTAATACATCTAGAGCAAGCTGCCCAAACTCACTACAACAGCAAAATAAAATAGGGGAAGGGGAAGGAGAGTTGTGGCTATTAGAATAGAATCAATCATAGTAGCCAAGGCGACTTGCATATAACTCTACATCACATGTGCAACATGACTCTGAACATTTACTTGAATGAGCATTATGCCAAGTGCAATGAAGAGAGCAGTCATATACAACATTATGGTTTTCTATGGTTTCAAATTAACCTATTTCTTTCAGAAAATCCAAACATTCTTCTATAATTATTCTGAAAATCACAGGCTCAGATTTCTATTATTATTATTTTTACTATCATCAAATACATGTATGAAAACTACAGGGTAACTAATTAAGGCAAGTGGAAGGGGCCATGATGTTTCAAAATTTGAAATTTTGTTTTAGGCACATAAATAGATTTTATGTTTTCTGCTTCAAAATAGTAGGAAAATAGTCTTGGTGATCTTGGTCAAAGGGGGGAGAATTAAAAGGGGGCTCAAGGCTTCTATATATTCCTGGGATGCTTATTCCTGATTTATGGTAAAACTCTCATCAGCTTTAATAGATTGCAGCTATATTTTTAAAACCTATTTAACTACAATCATACACATAATTACTCGGCCATTAATCCCATTACTGTATGTCTAACGAGACTTAGTCTTTTATACTTCCTATCAGATTCTATTATTATAATCAGATAAAGTGAAGATGAATCATAGATAGGGACAGAAAGAAGAGATAAGCTTCACGCTGATGCTATGAAATAATAACTCATTTTAGGAATAACGTCAACGTTTCAATAGATTTTAACCTAGGCGTCATTCAGAGACAGGAAATGAAGTATCTCAAATAATGAAATTATACATATAGAACCTTCAGCTTAAAAATAATAAAAAAAAACATAGTTCATAAGTAAACCAGAATTTGTATTCATCATTTTTAATATAACGTGATGGGCTGCAGCATCATTAAAAAATAAAGAATGCACATAAGATCTAAGAATTCTAGACAAAAAATTGAATTAGTGTTTAGGGGTGATTAAATCTATTTCAAGCCAGCTCTTTGCATGCTGAGCCAAAAGATTTCTTCTGACATTTAACATAAAAAAAAATGTATTAAGCGACCAAGAGAAAAGTGTCTAATCGTTCTAAGAACTACAGCTCATCCAAAGTGAAAGGAAAACCCCTACTTTGAATACTTCTTCAGTTCCTCTGCTGTATCATCCTCCATGTTGCATTGTTTGGCTTCACGTGCCATGGCTCTGTAGAGTTTGCAAGCGACCACAGCCTTGACCATTGCTTCCTTTCCATGCTGCCAGAAGAACATAGCCATCTTCTGCCTTTTCATCAAAACTGCCCAAACCAAGAGGTCATTGTAGGGATAAATAAAGCCCACTGACTTTTGGTCATCAGATACTGTGAATTCGTCTTTCATGTTCTTCTTGGATTTATGGAGATTTGTTGATTTTTCCTACACGTCCATGAATAAAAAGTCAATATAAGTCATTAAACTTTTAGCCTTTTGATCCTACCTTTCTTTTCTCAGTTAAGCTTAGCTTTGTGTCCTAATGCTACAAAGGTAGAAGCAGAAGCAGGAATATGTAATACTTAAAAGGTAAAAACATTGTATGGAAAATTCACAAATGGAACTGCAATACACGAAACAAATGGCAGAAAACTGTATGCAATGATTAATATTAATTATTTTTGTGGTTGTCTTACATCTAGGCAATTACACATAGTGTGTATATTGGAAACAAGTACTAGTACAAGTACAGATAAATACAAAGTCCACAACCCAAACCACAATTTCAATAGCTACAACTAAAAACTAGGGAAAGCTACCAGGTCTCATTAAGTGGTGAGGACTATGACTATATTCTGTTGCGCTTGTGGTGAAGCTTTATTCTGCTTCAGTTATGATGGCAGTGAATACTGATATCCTTACCCATTTAACCTAAAACAGATTAAGGAAAGCAATTGGTGGATTCTCCTGGCTTCGTTTCTATGTCAGTGAAGAAAAAAACCACAATCACTCTCTTTAATATATGATGCGACAGGAATGAGAGAATATAGGGAAACGCTTGACTGGAAAATGGGCAGATGCTGGAACATGTTTATGCTATAGGCATCTGTCAGATTGCCTGACTAATAAATTGCAAGCCAGAAATACTCCAGATGTGTGTTCTATTGCTTGGATTATTTCTGAATTTAAGTCTAGCAATCTTTTGAAAAACCACTAAACCACTAAATAGTTGCAAGCATACAGGAGGGAACGCATGGATCATTACAGTGCTGAGTCCCACTTTGCTCTGCATCACATCTGTGACCCACCAGCTGGACTAATAGATGAAAGATAAGGAGTAATTGATCAAGAGACTGAATGCTAAAAATAAGCTGAAGGCTTCAAGAGGAGCCCACATGAGACATGACAAGGGCTTCAGAAAGGCATTAGATAGGCAGATCCCTTTGCAGAATCCAGGAACCTAGTCTCCTTTTTAGCCAAAAGCAAAATGGCCACGGAGAGTAGTGGAGCTGAAGGGGTGTTCCCACAGCAACTAAATGTAGCAAAGAGGATCAAGGCATATCTTAGGCTCTGTCAATTATATTATTAATAAAGTAGGCTAGATCAGGTCCATGACAAAAAAAGTGTTTTGGGAGAAATGAGTAAGCACCACTTTTAATAACTACAGTGGTTTTAAAGTTCAGCTAATGATGACTTTAAGCTGCTCCCGTTGTGAGCTGTCAATGGGATGAAAGCAATGTCATAAAAAATATTGCTGGAACTTGTTTATGCTTCAGTTTTTGTTTTGGGATCTGAGGATGAGCAATCAGATAGAAAACTGTCTAAATAAATATTTATTTTGCATTATAAATTCATGATTATTCGGGGATCAAGCAGTAAACGAGTATAATTTATAATGAGCCATAATTCCAATTCTATAATCTAACTCTGTAATCAGCAATATTTCTAATTCTATCATCAGCCATGTCTAGCAGAAAAAAAATGAGTGAAGAGCTTCTCAAAGACTTAGGAGAGCTGAGAATTATTCGTTCACTTAACAAAACCCTACAATGACAAGAACTGTTGTTGACAGTCAAGTCTTGATAAGATCTATTCAGTCTATCCCCTAGCTTAGGTTGGTTCAGATAGGTTAAAGTGTTTCCAAATGAACTCTATTAACTGACTTCAGCAAATACCTGAAATCTTTCTCTACCTCTCACTACACAGACTAAAATAAGAGAAGTATAGAAAGCCAATAGTACTTCTAGCTCTTATCTGATTCAACCTTGTCTCAATGTACTAAAGAGATTTTTTTTAAAGCCAGTATGCCTGCCTCTTTCATCTTGTCAAGTGAACAAACAGGATCTCCAGTCTAATGCCCTTTTAACAAACTGCATGAGTAAACAAGATTCACAGTACTTTGTATTTGTACGGCTGAGCTGTTCTGATAAACTGGGAATGCAAAGTATTTTCAGCAGTTCCACTTCGACTCCCATTCGGATTAAGCTGATGAAGCGAGAGGTTCTGTGCCAGCCTGGAGACAACTTCCTGATTCTAAAGATTCATTAGGAAATAGAAAGAAAGAGTTTAATTAAGACTAGGTTGCACAAACAATGTATCCTGGTCATGACAATGCTGATTCAAATGCATGCATACATGCAAAGACGTTCCTTTCTCAGACAGTTAAATAATGTGCTTCAAAACTAATCAAGGAGAGAAGCAACCTAGAACTAAGGAGAAACTTCCTGACAGTTAAAACAATTAACCAATGAAACAACCTGCCTCCAGAAGCGGTGAATGCTCCAACACTGGAAGTTTTTAAGAAGAGACTGGACAGCCATTTGTCCGAAATGGTGTAGGGTTTCCTGCCTAAGCAGGGGGTTGGACTCGATGACCTCCAAGGTCCCTTCCAACTTTATTATTATTATTATTAAAACCAGTGCTTTTTTTGTAAAAAAAAAAAAAAAAAAGGTGCCGGAACTCACACATGTCATACAACCCGCCTTGCCTACCCTACAAGGTACCATCCAAAAAAGGTGCCGGAACTCCGTTCTGGGCGTTCTATGACAAAAAAAGCCCTGATTAAAACTATACAGAGTTTAGTTTGCTTCACAAAAAGCATGTGTCATGGTTGCAAGCTGAGCAAAAAATAAGTACAGCAACTCTTCAACATCTCTTGGATATCAAGGAAGTACATTTCAACCTAAACTCAGTGTTTACATCTAACTTTTGAAGATAGCCCTGTTTTATTTCTTTATTAGACTTATATCTCAGTTTTTGTACAAAAGCTCTAGGCAGCATACTTAGTTCTCCCTCCTATTTACCGCACAGCTGCAACTCTGTAATGTAGATTGAGTCAATATTTTTTTAAAAAAAATAGTCACACATCTGAAATATTACACTGATTGTGTGCTGATCTAATGAGGGTCATCTGTTTATTGTCTATGTCAATTTACACTTAAAGCAAAAGAGTAGAATTTTCTTGATTCTGCCATCCCTCCCCAAATTAGTTGAGCTTCCTTTGGTAAGAATTACAAAATCAGCATAAGGAAAGCATTGGGAGGTAAGAAGTAATGATGCACTGTGAATGAGGGTGCTCCCCATACAATGTAAGGAAATGTGCCATGGAACCATGTGCTTGTTTACCTTATGTTCCCTGTACATATTATTGTATAAAATTCTGAAATGTTTTCTTGTGTAGCTGCTCTGATAAGCTCCACCAATCAAGTATTCTATAACCAATCCAATATCAATCAACGATATTTTATAGTCCACTGGAAGAGTACTCTGTAACACAAATATTTAACATTTATATTGCAACAAAGGCTTGTTTTGTAATGTATTTAAGAAATTGTTTTCACATCACAGAAAATCTTTCAATAGCATTATTTTTCCCATCTTGTGAATTCAAGACGTTAGCTTTGTTAAAATTTCCTCTCATGTTCTTGATTAAACTGTGATTAATATAAAACTTTTTTCTAGCCCACAATTTATTCATCTATTTTTATTTTCTGGGAATTGAGCCAGTTAACTATGAAACACTGTAATCTAATATGGCATCAATAAAATTCAATGAAACAATTATTTGACAATATTTTTAAAATAGAGAAAACTGCCAAACAAATAAAATGAAGAGACAGAAGTCAAATAATCTAGCTGTTGGCCAAAGTGCCTGAAATAAAATAAAATAACATAAAATAAAATAAAATATTTAGTATATAACTTAATGCTTTTATAGGAAGTTAACTTGAATATTGAATACAAGAATCACCTTTGTTGTTACTTTAGCTACTGGAGAACACTTAACTAGAATAAAGTTCCAAGATTTGCATATACATTAATTGTAGTAATAATTACTACAGTTAATAGTTTTTACCATTTTAATCAATACCATATTCCTCAAATGTTTACATCTTTAATTAGAAGATACCCAAGTATCTTCCTCAGTAACAATAGCTCAAGACAAAAAGGAATGGACAACATTTCACAGAAGAATTTTCAATTATATCTTATTTAGTACCATCTTTTTTTATTACAGTTACTATTATGGACCAATAGGATTATCACACTTCTAAGAAAAGTTATATATACCAAGGATGTACAACCTTGGCAATTGTAAGACTTGCATGGCTGGCTGGGGAATTCTGTAAGTTGAAATCCACATGTCTTAAAGTTGCCAAGATTGGCACCCCTGATATATATATATTTGTTAATAACAAAAAGTGATAAATTACTGCCTATAATAGCCCTTGCTCTTCATATTTTAGAATGGAATTACCTGTTTCACATCACAAAGAAGATGATGCAAAAGTAGATTTGTTGGCCCCTGTTTCTGGAATTTAAAAATACAAAAATAACACAAATAAATAAATAGCATGAATAAATATCACAAAAAATAATATTTAAAAATAATAATAATAATATTTAATTGCACTTAAAAAGAAAGAATTAGCAATACCAATTCAGTTTTCTTGGATATTTCTGTATATCACCAGTAATAAACTACTGTTTAGCTGAATATAGTTATAATAAAAGAATGAATTACATACTTTAACTATACTTTTTATCTATGAACACAACAGAAAAATCTATGCTATACATGATATTAAAGAAACACAGCCTGCTCGCTTTGAGTGAAATAACAAACTTTAAACTAAAAGGAATGGAGTTGAGAAAATTGATATTTCTATATCCATAATACTAACAATCTATTTTCAGCTTTTTTGTGAATAGCACCAACCGATACGGCTTTTCAAATATAAAGCCTCTGATATCTTTTTAATCTTTACTCTAGTTTATTAAAGCTAGGAACATAATTTAGTAACAGTGGACTACAAGTAAAATTATGTCAAATAATTGATTCCAGAATTTTAGATTTTTTGCAGCACCTACCAGAAATTAATCATCTTCATTTCTAGATTTTATGGTTATAGGGAAATCAACCACATAGCAACACAGATACAGGGGCATATTTATTTATTTTATTTTTATATATTTATCCAATTTAGACACCACCCAATTCACTATCCAAGTGATTCTAGATAGTTTACCATATAAAAGATATACAGTTAACCACCACTTTTTTTTTAAAAAAAAAGTGAAGAATAAAAAAGGACAAAGTTAAAAAAAAAAGTTTATTTTTTTTTTAAAAATATGTTCCTTGTAAGCATCACTTTCCATAATTTTAATCTTAAATCATGCAGGAGCACTAAAATCTCAGTATTTCTATAATTGTTCATGAGTTTTTCAAAAGCTTTTGAGAGACTTGCATGAAGAAATTGTGTGAAAACTTCAGAATCTCACAAGACGTCAAATTTCTTTTAAAAGAACTTACAAAATCTCAAAAAGTATTCTTCAAAACTTAAAGCAATTATTGGGATTGAGATCACATTCTGTACCCCAGAATCTAAAATATTACCAGTTAGAATTAATTCAGGAAGCCTATTTGACTTTGAAGTGGGGGGGGGGGGAGAACAGTGTAAAATTTGGGAGTTTTCTTGTTTCTTTTTTATTTTAAAATACCCAGGATTCATCTTAATTTTTTTCAAATATATTGCTTATTTACATCCCATGTCATTATTTTTCAAGTTTTTTTATTATTGTTGTGGGCTTCACAATCCTCAAGTGGACTGAGAGGCTTCTAAACGCTGGAAAAGAAAAGGGTTGTTAACAACCGGGTCTTTTATTTGCTTTTCCCCAATTTCTCCTACCATTTCACATAAAATCCAACCAATTTCCCCCCAAAATCTTGCGTGTTATTTTAATAATAATTTTGTTCCACTGCCAGTATTGTTCTACTGGACAGTTCTATTTTGTTTTGTGTGACATGTGTCTATACCAGCCAAGGCAGTTGCCAAAAGAATTATACTGAGAAAATGGAAATGTGATATTACTCCAAGAATTAAGGGCTGGATTTTAGAACGACAAGTTATTTTTTCTCTATTTTATAATAATATAGTATTTATAAGGCTCAATGATTTCTATACATTTAATATATATTTTTAGCTGTTTAGTGCTTATTTTCCCCCCGGGTTAAATTGGGGAATAAATAAATTTCAAGGACCTAACATTTTTATGGCTCTTTGTATTTATCCTGCAATATATTTATACAGTAATGCCCAAGGCTGTACTGCCCAATACTATTTTGTTTCTTTGTTTCTATTCTTGAAAAGCCATTTATCACTGTTAAAAGCAAATCAGAATTTAAGGCACTCACAGTGTTGTATAGTTCTTCCAGTCGGGATATCGTAAGGAAGCGGTGTAGATTCACACCATGTTCTATTAGCAATTTCACAAATTCCACACGATCCATAACCAGGGCATCCTGCATTGCTTGTTCAAGGGAGCCAACCTTCATACACAATGTGGGGAATGCAAGTTATTGGCACTAAGCCCCAGTAAAAGCATTTAGTTTTATATACTGCTTCACAGTGCTTTACAGCCCTCTCTAAGTGATTTATAAAGTCAGCATATTGCCCCCAACAATCTGGGTCCTCATTTTACCAACCTAGGAAGGATTGAAGGCTGAATCAAACTGCTAGCAGTCGGCAGAATTAGCCTGTAGTACTGCATTCTAACCACCATGCCATCATAGCTCTATTGTTATTGTTATCCTAACTCTGATGACAATTCAGATATAAAGATACTTCATAGGCAAGGTGAGACAAGTCAAGCAATGTAAAAAGCGGGACTTCTGATAATCATGTGCAGCAGAAACAAATTAAATGCTAAATTTACCTTCCAGTGTTGTCCATAAACCAATATATGTTTCTTAGCAATGTCCAATCTGTTCCAAGCCAGAGCCAGATTGAGCTGATCTGGAGCAGACATATGTGTACCTAACAAATAAACACATTCTGGGTTAGATTTTATACTCACAATAATTTAACTTCTATTTCCTGGTTTGATTTTGGAAGTCCATGAGAAAAGAAGATATAAAGAACCTTTCAGGAGCGCAGTCAGGATTGCCAGATCCATGTCCTGATGTTCCTCTGACTCAGCATCAAATATTGTTATCTGTCAAAAAATAACACAAGTTACTAGAGGAAAGAAAAGTGAACACCGTTAGATGATTTCAAAGGTCTCCTAAGTTATAGAGAAAAAGATTGACAGGAAGGAATAGAATCAAATGCCGTGAAAAATATGAAAATAAGATCAGAAGGAATAAGCTGAAGCTGGAGTGGCAGAGAGATATCTAAGACAGGGGTATTAAGCTACTTCTGTAAGTATGAAGAACAGGAAGTGAATGCTGAAGACTAAGAGTCTTCAAACTTGGCAACTTTAAGACTTGTGGACTTCAACTCCCAGAATTCCTCAGCCAGGGCTGTTAAAGTTGCCAAGTTTGAAGACCCCTGCTGAAGACAGATGGAATCTGCATATATAAGGGAAAAATTCAAATTATGTTATTATGCTTTCACGGAAAGAATGATGGACACTTAGTTATTTCATATTTTAAGTCACATTTTCATAATTTGTGATTCCAATATCAATTCGTAAACTGATATACAAATTGTAGCAATCAAAGGATTTTCCCAAAGTATCCCAACCAAGGAAAGAGTGTAAGAATGGGTATTACCACAAAAATGCATAATGTTAGGGAGACACTGTGCATAAAACTGTGCATATATAAGAATTTGTATTAAAAATGTACTTCATGAGAGGAATCATTTGCAGAATGGACTTATTATGAAAACTGTATTGACAAATTCTGTAAAACATGGGCACAAACATGCAAACTCAGACAAAATGGGATAGGATCTATGATTGACTAAATGATAAATAAAAACAAATTGAATTCAACAAATTTCTTCATCTGTGTTCCAGATAAACAACTTACTGCAATTGACCAAAATGTATTGTGAACCTTTTTTATTTTTTATTCTTGTGGAAGGTGATAGAAAGAAGAATATAAGCATTACTGGTTTACATCACTGGTGCAAAAATGTCCAAGCTTGAAGTATACAATTCTCGCCTTATTAAAAAAAAACCTGCACAAATTATTTGTCATTAATTATTAATATTATAATATTAATTTTTGAATATTAATCATGGTTAGTTATTATTTTCCACTGATAATATTAGTGAAACAGTATCTTTATATCAGTAACAATTCGGTGACAGAGAAGAGGATGGGATTAATAAAAAGATACCGTGAAATCAGGATACTTACAGAATCCCTATGTTCCATACATTCCATTAAAATTTTCAACAAATGATGGGACTGCTTTTGCCCAAAACTGAAGCTGTTCTGAATCATTAATAATATCTTTTCCTTAAGTTGAGAGTTCCAGTTTCTGAGAGGGAAAGGTATATAAGTTCATTAAATGAATGTTCCCTACCAGAGTAAACATTTTCCAAATGGCCCCAGCGATGCTTGTTATACTTGTTCCTCTCCTAAATACCACTTCGGCTAACAACCATTTGTTTAGTGACCGTTCTAAGTTACAGTGGCACTGAAAAAAGTGACTTATGACTGCTTTTCACACAAATGACAGTCACAGAGTCCCCGTGGTCGTGCGATCAAAATTCAGACCTTTGGCAACTGGCATGTACTTATGACAGTTGCACTGTCGTGGACTCGTGTGATTTGTACCTTCCCAGCTGGCTTCCGGCAAGCACATTCGGGGGGGGGGGAGGAGTTGGATTTGCTTAACGACAGTGTGATTCACTTAGCAACTGCAGTGATTCGCTTAACAACCATGGCAAAAAAAGTCTAAAAATGGGGCAAAACCCACTTAACCATTGCCTCGCTTAGCAACAGAAATTTGGGGCTTGGGTTTAAAATTATGGTTGTAAGTCAAGGACCACCTGTAACCAAATACGTTTTAGTCAGAGTTGTCTTATGACACACCATTTGAAGAAAAAATTAAAGATTTGAACTTTTCATTTGGGCGCACTATTTTTTTGTTCAGTATTTGAAGGACTGTTGTCCAGGGACTCACGTGTCATCTGCAGTGTGTTTATACGTAAAGGCAAGCAGGTCTGCAGCTCTTCCAGTGCCTTCACATATTACTACAGGAACAGCGGGGGTGTCCCTGACATATTCCCAGACTGTCAGGATTTCACTGGGACCGCCTTCTACCACTAGCCCAACTAAGGGCACTCCTTGCCCCATTCCTATTTCAAATCACACAAGAAATTGCAACCATTAATTTAGGACATTCAGTACTTATTTAAATCCGCTGCTATGATGGGATTAAAATCATAACGTTTCCCATGTTACAAAATGTTAGAAGAGCTATAAACTGAAGACTTCTCCCTTGATTAAAATGGCTTGTTTTCATTTGTTCAGTGGGTATGAAACACAGCAGGGTTCGGGTTCGGGTTTGAGTTTGGGTTAGGATTAGGGTTAGGGTTCGAGTTCGGGTTCGGGTTAGGGTTAGGGTTCGGTTTTGGGGTATGGGGTAGGGTCAGGATCAGGGTCAGGATTGCTAAAAGTCACAATCCCTCTAACCCTGCATGATCAATTAGAAAAGTGCACCACTGAAAGAGGTTCTTACAGAAGTAATACAGAATAAGGATTTCTTACTGGTATGTATTTTTTGAAGTGATAGATACTTTTCCAGATTTCTCCTGAGTTTTATCTGACTGCCGTACTTTCCCACTGTGCCATCATCAACCAGTATGAAATGGGAATGCATGCCATTGAGGGTGCTCAGCTTGCTAAGAGGATTGCCAAGTGTCTGATACAGGCAGACTACCTAAAGAGAAACAAAGATTAGAAGAACAGCCCTTCCAAAGCACTGTTTCACTGTCCTTAAGGTGGATTACAAATGTTTGTAGCTCAGGAAGACTGTGGAATATTGACCGTGCTTAATATCAGCTGTCCCCCCGCCCCCAGCATACCTAGCAGAGAAACAAAAGTTATCATCCTTGAATTATGATCCTTAATTCAATTCTTTGTATGTTACCCCTGGCAAACTCACAGCCTTAGGTAATGAGAAATTCCATATAGGAAGAAGACAGGGAGGGAAGGAAGGAAAGAGAGAAAGAGAGAGGAATAATATTTTTTACAGGATTGGTAGAAAAAAGAAACAGCATTTTATTTCCCATTATTCCTCATTAAAATCTTTTTAAATAAAACAACAATGAACTTACTAATAGGATAATCTATGGCAAGATTCTAGCTTCATGACATGCTACTTAGTTTGTGAGGTTTAATTTTCAATACATAAATATAAAAATTCAAATGGTATCTTATGTCGCACAATGAAAACTAATGATTTACTTACGGTACATAAAACCTGAAATGAATCTTTCCGAAATAGTTCCAAATATTTTTCTTATACTTTGAGATTTTGCTAAATATCTTAGTAATTAGAAATTTCATAGTAAATCAAACAAAAAAGACACAGTATGTATTTTTGTATGCAAATGAATTTTCCCTGCAAAAGTGAAAGATAAAACTCTCAGCTGAAAGTACAAATAAAAAGACAAATTTCAACTGATATTTGCCTAGCTTTGAAAAATATATATGTACTATATGTAAGAAAATACTACATATCTACAGAAACGCACATGATCAAAGATAAAAGCCCTCCAGAATCTATATGTGTCAATATAAAAGGGAAAAAAGTGACATTACCATAGGCGTATACTACAGGCCACCCAACCAATCAGAAGAAATAGATGGACTCTTTGCCAACCAGTTAACAAATGTATGTAGGAAGCATACCACAATAGTAATGGGAGACTTCAACTACCCAGATATCAGCTGGGAGACAAATTCTGCTACGAGCAGGAGAGCAAACAGATTCCTAACCAACCTAGCTGACAACTTTGTCATCCAAAAGGTAGAGGGGGGAACTAAAACTAAAGCTATACTGGACCTAATTCTTACTAATAGAGAAGAAGTGATAGAGGGAGTTGAAGTTGCCGGAACCTTAGGGAAAAGTGGCCACGTCATACTGGAATTCAATATAATGCAAACACTAGCAATAGAAAATAATTCAACCAATGTCTTAAAGTTCAAAAGAGCTGATTTTAACAAACTGAGAGTGAACCTAGGAAAGATTCCATGGATCAAAATCCTAAAAGGGAAAAAAATTAAGAGGCATGGGAAACTCTGAAAAATGCTATCATAAAAGCCCAGTCCAATACAATACCACTGAAAAACAAGAAAGTCAAGAAGAAATCAGCATGGCTGCATATAGATCTCTCAGACAAACTGAAAGACAAAAAGGACAAGTACAAAAAATGGAAAGAGGGACACATAACTAAGGCTGATTATCAGCAGACAGCCAGAACATGCAAAGATGAAGTCAGGAAAGCAAAGGCTCAGAATGAACAAAGACTTGTAACAGAAATCAAGGATAATAAAAAAAATATGTTTTTTTCAACATATTAATAACAAGAAAAAAGTCAAGGAAACTGTAGATCCACTAAAGAGGAAGTAACAAGCAATAGGGAGAAAGCAGAGCTGCTTAACTCATTCTTTGCATCAGTCTTCACACACACAAAAAACATACAAAAAAAATACTGCAGAAGACAAACTAGAAACAAAAAATAAGCAAGAAAATGGTAAGAGAACACCTATCTGACCTTGACAAATATAAATCACCAGGACCCGACAGATTACATCCCAGAGTTCTGAAGGAGCTGGCAGATGTTATCTCAGAACCATTGCACCATATCTTTCAAAAGTCCTGGAGCACTGGGTAAGTACCTGAAGATTGGAAAAAGGCTGATGTGGTTCCCATCTTCAAGAAAGGGAAAAAAACAGACCCAGGAAACTACAGACCAATCAGTTTAACATCAATACCTGGGAAGATCCTGGAAAAGATAATCAAAAAATAGATCTGCAAACAACTAGAAGCAAACAAAGTTATAACTGGTAGCCAGCAAGGGTTTGTTAAAAACAGATCATGCCAAACCAATCTTATTTCATTCTTTCATAAAGTGACCAAATTAGTAGACCAGCGAAATACTGTGGACATAGTATACTTAGATTTCAGTAAGGCATTCGACAAAGTAGACCACAATCTACTTCTTGGTAAGCTAGAAAAAGGTGGAATAGACAACATCACCACCAGATTGATTTGTAGCTGGCTGACAAACCGTACTCAACGAGTAGTCCTCAATGGTACTATATCCACATGGAGAGAAGTAAGCAGTGGGGTACTATAAGGTTCCGTCTTAGGCCCAGTACTCTTTAATATCTTGATCAATGACTTAGATGAGGGAATAGAAGGGCAACTCTTCAAATTTGCAGATGACACTAAACTGGCAGGAATAGCCAATATCCCAGAAGACAAGCTCAGGATTCAAAAAGATCTTGACAAACTGGAACAATGGGTCCTATCCAACAAAATGAGTTTTAATGTGGAGAAAAGCAAAGTTTTACCTTTAGGCAGGAAAAATCAAAGATTAGGTGAGACCTGGCTCAAAAACAGTAACTGTAAGAGGGACCTTGGAGTCCTAGTGGGTGATCACTTGATTATGAGCCAGCAGCAGCCAAAAAAGCTAATACAGTCCTGGGTTGCATAAACAGAGGCATAGAATCAAGATCACACGAAGTATTAGTACCACTTTATAAAATCCTAGTAAGACCACACCTGGAATACTGCAACCAATTTTGGTCACCATACTACAACAAAGACGTTGAGACCTTGGAAAACGTTCAGAGAAGAGCAACTAAGATGATCCAAGGCCTGGAGACTAAAACATATGAAGAACGGCTGCAGGGTTTGGCTAGTCTAAGAAAAGAAGAAATAGGGGTGACATGATAGCAGTATTCCAGTATTTGAGAAGCTGCCACAAAGAAGAGGGGGTCAAATTATTCTCCAAAGCACCAGAGGGCAGGACAAGAAACAATGGTTGGAAACTGACCAAAGAGAGAAACAACCTGGAATTAAGGAAAAACAGTGAGGACAATTAACCAGTAAAATCATGGGTGCTCCATCACTGGAGATTTTTAAGAAGAGACTGGACAGTCACTTATCTGAGATAGTATACGTTCTCCTGCTTGAGCAGGGGGCTGGACTAGAAGACCTCCAAATTCCCTTCTAACTCTATTCTATTCTATTCTATATTAAAATTCTATTTTTTTAAAAAAAACCATAAGAATTTGTCCTTTGAAAATTGTCCAGATGTAATGAAAAAAGTACTCTCCATCGTATAAAAATTAACATCTGTGATATATAGACTTTTAAAACCTAAGTTTCATTTCTAAAAGAAGTATAGCTTAAAAAAAATGTAACAAAATATAAATGCAATTGTTAGTTTCCAAATGGCAATAGACTGGGACTTTGATTAGTTGAGAATCTGTGTGGTGTAAAAGATGGAATGAATTTGGATCAGATGTATATTTTTCTATCCAAACTATTTCACACTGGGAGGTTAAAATAGAGATACAGTTTTAGAAATTAAAGATATATATGATAAATAATAAGATCTTTTACATGACCAGTAATATACAGGGTGAATTTCTGAATAGTAAAGTTTGCAGTTGTATAAATAAATAAATAGAAATATTTATCCTCACATATGCTATATGTAGGAAATTAGTAGTGTTCTACAATCTGTACCTTGTTCCTGATACTCATACAATTATAGTGTGGAACAGTTCAAAGAGTTCGTTAAGAAAAATAAATAAATAAAAACCATTTGGGAACTCACATCTTTGCCAATAAGTTCTTTCTGATTTTCAATGATGCCCCAAGGGGAAATTCCAATAGCACAGATCTTTCTTAAATATTGAGAGGCATGGAATTTCAATGCATTTCCCACATGCTTAGATACTCCTAGACAATTACATTGAAATAGTTGACATTATTATCATCATTACAAATTTACAATATGATCGGATTACTAAGGTGACCAATCGCCCTCCTTTAGGAAGGACAGTCCTTCTTTTGTACTCATTTAAATAATAATTAATAGGCATGTAAGCATAATTACAATATAAAATGTTATTGTTACAAATATTTTTTATTATGCATTTATCATATTATAGTGTATTCTGTATTGTTGCAATGAATAAAATGTTTTATTTACGATATTTTTTCTTCAATTTATTTGTGTCCTCCTTCTCATTGTAAAAAAGTTGGTCACTTTAGGATTACAGAAATGAAATGTCTTGTAACTCTTCCAAATGTAAACAAGAATCAGAGCCATGTTGAACCTGATGGAATTACTACAGCTTAATTATGTAAAACATCTACACAATAATGTGCATTGGTTCCTCACTTATGGTACATGATATATATTTTTTTGAAGAATGAGATGACACAATATTTTCCCACATGCTTTATGTTAAATGTGACAAAGAGTGCTATGTGGAGCATAGATGCACAAGTTGTATAAAGTAGTAGTATTGGGCTAAGAGATTGACTAGACCAAAGCAGGACTAGGACTCACAGTCTCCTGGTTTCTGGGCCAGCTATTTAACTACTACACCAAACTTTAACAAAACTTTGTTTCTATAAGTTAATATTATCCTCCAATAGTGCTTGGAAGAAGATACTACAAGGAGGTAAGCAATATATCTGGGGAGAGTACCATGCTTTAAAACAGCTCTTTGGTGTGCTTACGACAGACACAAGCAGCTCTCCTGCTACCTGGTGTAGTCTTAATATGCTTAATATGGAACTCTTAGCAAACAAGGTGATAGCAAGATTATTCTTGTGTACACAGATCTCAGAAACATTTGCCCACCAAATATTAAAGAGAAATAGGTTTACCGGTGTTAATGCCTTCTGTTAATATCCAAGCTCCTGTAGTTTCAGCAGCTTTGACCAATCCTTTGCTGAAAAGCTGCACCAGTTTAGATGGAAGTTTGAAGTTTTGGATGCCACCATGAATCGAAATGACCAGTCTGGGAAATTCCATCTGCCATTCTTTAATCATGAGCTGCAACAGCTGATCTAGCTTTGTGTCATAAGAAGTTCTGATATACTATGGGACAAAAAAAAAACACCAACTGTAATTGCCCAAACCCAAAAATAACAGGGATAACTATACATTTATAGGAATAATATAGAACAGGGGCTTTCAAACTTGGCCCTTTTATGACTTGTGGACCTCAACTCCCAGAATTCCTAAGGAATTCTGGGAGTTGAAGTCCACAAGTCATAAAAGAGCCAAGTTTGAAGGCCCCTGATATATAATCTTAATTCTAGCTTCCTCAAGCTGCTGTGAATTCTAATCATTGTCTTGCTTTCTGTCAGCCGTATGAGGTAGGCCAGGTCAAAGGAAAAAACTCTACAAGTTTGACTGGAACTATATACTTCATTTATACAGGTTATACTGACAGAATTTTGAAAGCCTTTATTTTCCCTTCTCTCTTTTAATACCCCAGAGAATTACAGTGGAGTCAGTTTTAGTGTCTATCTCTGTTTTCTCTGTTTCCCAGGCTTAACAAAGCTTTTGTTTTCATAATCATTTCTGCATATTTGCTCCAAGGTCATTTCTGGAGCTCTCCAAGCTTCAAGCATTCTCAACTCTGTAACATTGCCTACAATTTTTAGTTTCACGCTTCAAATCATGCTTCACAGCTTTAACTGTCTACTTGATGTCAGGTACCTCTTTTTCCTTTCCCAGTATCACATCATCAACAGGAACAGAAATCCACTGATTAATGAGATTTCACGAATGTTTTAATGTTTTCCAAATTCCTGGTTGGAACGTGTACGTTTATCACAAAGGGAGTGAATGCCTTCCTTGCTTTAATTAAATAATTTTCTAGCCTAGTAGATAAACCAGACTAGGAGATCAATTCAACCAGAAGGCTAAAACCACTTTTATTAAGATTGGTTATTATAACAGAATCTGGCAAGTCTGATTGTGTAAATGTCTATGGAGATTCTCAATCATCCAGGTCATGGTTGTCCCAAAAGTGCTTTTTCCAAAAAGCAACTGGACTTTCTTGGATTTTTTCCTTTGAAAACATTTTGCATTCTCAAAGGAAAAAAAAAACAAGAAGGTCCAGTTGCTTTTGTAAAAAAGCACCTTTGGGTCTGATTGTGTAGTACCTCCTGCCTCTTATATTTCAGTAAATTAGGGAGGTGTCTGTCTGAGTTACTTCTGAATATTATCTGGTTGCTCTGAACTTTAAAATATGTTTTGGTACCTTATGCCTAGGCAATAGCTCCTTAATATCTCCATCAAGGTCATGTTCCTTATTTTCTACTATTATTTCAATTGAGATGTTAAGACTGCTATTTCCATAGTGTTTCACATGCATTCTTTCTTGATATTCAGCTCAACAAGTTGGGACAAAACATTTAAATAAAAGCACATTTATATAGATTATCTTTACTTAATCTCACAGCAATTTTATGTTTAGCACTAATATTTGTTTTCTAGATTTTCACAGCTGTACTTGTACAGAGTTCTGTAATAAACTCAATAGTGTTACAAATCCAGGTTTAAAGTTGTACGAACCTTGGCATGGTACGTGTGATCACTGTCTTGAAAATTGATTGTACCAAATGCATCAGTTGGACTAATCTTTGTATCTTTTTCAACAGACCATTCCACATTATATTTTTCTTTTTCGGATTGAAATACAGGATAACCATAATCTATTCCATGGTGATCACCGATTAGCCGACCACAACAACATCTCAAACAGAAAGATAGAGTTTCCATTAGTATTAATTCAATTAAAGTTGCTCTTTTTTGGTGCTCTTTTTTTTACATTAAATCACCATACTAGCTACTTCAGCTCAAAGTTTAATATTAGAAATCTGTATATGATTGTCATGTTTTGTGGAGCTTAAAACATAACTACATCTTTCCATGTATGAAAAACATGGTAAAATCATAAAAGATGCGTATGAAAAGGTTTTTTATTTGTAAGCTTTCTTTTGTAAACCAAAAGTCTCTCCCCCCCATCAATTATCCAAGTTGAGTGTAGATGAATTTGGTTATTGATTGTTAAAAAAAAAAAAGAATTCATGACATGTCATTTTGTCAGAACAGGTAAATTTAAAAAAATATTTCTAGTACAGAAACATGATATCCATGATTGGTGAAAGGAATTGCCAAGATTGTATTGTTAGTGTTCAATGTATCTTTGATTAGAAGTTAACTATAAAACCATCAAATTACATTTTATTGTTACAGTATATTATTTTAATAATGAGAAAACGAATTCAGTTCTTGAACTAAGAGCCAAAATCTCCTCTATTTGTTAAGAATTCAAAAGAAAAGGGAATGAAAAGAAGAAAAAAACTACTAAGAACATTGTAGATAAATATCAGTTTCTAACTTCTCCTTTGTTGTACTCAACTAATGTCCACTATTCATAGACATCTTATCTTTTTCTGTGTGCTTGATTTCAGTTCTTATTCAAGAACTGAAGTTTCAAAGATAAGAGTATCAAAGATAAGGATATCAAAACTGTAATGTATTGAGTTAAATTTGAGAATTGAGTGCTTAATACTGTGTAATAACGGTTAGCAGACCACGTGGCCAACAAGCCAGACTTTCTATCTGCAGACTACTTGTTATGCACTTAAGCAGGAGACTACTATGTTCTTATTGGTTGCCGCCTCCTAGGCTGAATGTATAAATAGGGGTGGAGCATGTGTTTGTTAGTTTCGGTTTTGCCTTTGCAATAAAGAAAGTTGTGTTTCACCTGCTGCCTCTTCAATACCACAACAAACAGCAAACATAACAAAAACCATACTCTAGATATTTATATTTGGCTTGCTGCATAATATAAAATATGCATTGGAGACCTTCTTGCTTGAATTTGGTTAAACTTCTGTTGTGCATGTATGCTGTTAGTTTTCCAAATTTAAGTTCTCAGTCTGATATCTTCAGTAACATCTCTCTTTTCCAATGTTGTGCTAAATTAATCCTCGCCTCTGTCAACATGTATTTTAGTAAATTGATATTTGCAAGTAACTTTTTTTTAAGAGAAGTGGTGTACAATTTCACTCTCTATTTAGTCTTTATTCACCATTAAAGCAATCCCTGGGATTCAAAGTATTGTTTTCTCGTTATGCCCATTTGGACTGCAATGTTTTACTTCCTTACAGGCTAACTTCCCAGAGGAAGGAATGCATTTACAACTAAGCTAGTTGTTACCCTGATCTTTAATATTTTCTAGAGATGCCTTTCATAGCATTTAAAATCTTCCACAATGGTCATGACCTGTGCCTAACATAAAAAAAAAGTTGCCCATTAAAAACATGGCAGGCTTTTTTATAAAAAAAAAAATACTATTTTTTCTTTCTTGCAGTAGCTAGTTTTTCCAAGATTTTTTTCTTTTTCAAAGAAGTTGAGGGGAGCACAAAATATTTTCTGAAATATTTTTGTTGTGTTCCATTTCTAATACAAAAGTTATTAATATCTTTGGAATTCAATTTGTAGGTCATCACTGTAACATGATCACTGGCAAATAAGTTATTGCTTGCTTCTTCCCTCCCTCCCTCCCTCCCTCCCTCCCTCCCTCTTTCTTTCTCTTTCTTTCTTTCTTTCTTTCTTTCTTTCTTTCTTTCTTTCTTTCTTTCTTTCTTTCTTATTGTTATTGAAGAATGCTTAAATAGTAATTGCATCATCTGTTAAGAATACTCCATCCTTTGTTTTGGCAGATGTTGAGATTTTAGATGGTCTTACCGAATTAGATTCTGGCATACTTGACATCCTGCAGAACCTCTGAAAAACAGTTTCAATAAAAAAATGCTGGTACATGCATTAAACATTTTAATCAGTTAAAATGAACAGTTTTGTAGTACTTAAAAACTTAACACATTGAATATGGCATAGGGTTCCAGGGACTTGCATTCTGTAAGTTTTTTGTTGTTGTTGTTGCAACAATCCTATTATTGCATCAAGAGACTAACACATCAACCATGTTGGAATTATTATGCATGATTCCAATATGGTGGTTATGTTAGTCTACCAATGTAATAATTATAAAATATATTATATGCTGTTTCATAAATATGTCTGAAACTGTACATTTTTGTGTGTGGCATTCCTTAGGATTTAGATCACATTCTTCAAATATTAGACTATAAAGAGATGGCCTTCATAAAATCTTTAATAACAAATTGGTAAGTAATAGACTGAAGATAGTAGCAAAGTGAAGTGGACTTTAAAATATGAACCTACCACATGAAATATAGGCATAAAAGGAAAAAAGAAAACCGAGCACAAAATGTTTAACATTATGTGTTAAATATTTCTTTATGAAATGCCATTGTATACAATATTACCCTTGGATGACAAACGATATAAACTACATGTTATTGGGCACAAAGTCAGGTATGATATAAGCATTATTATTATTATATCTGACTGGTCACTTCCCAAGGACCAGGGATTTGTAATTGTTTGATGATGTTAAGGGTATCACATGTAATGTGTTCCACGTAAAGCTGCCTTTACAATTGACTGATGAATGAATTTGTCAGTGCCAATGATGTTCAAGCTTCAGATGTTTTGAGATTGCATTCAGGGGGCCTATTACTATTATTATTGTTGTTCTATTTTTATGCCCTCTTATTCACACACACACACATAAATACTTCAGAGCAGTGAACTTAATACTTGTGCCTTCCATTTTCCCCACAACAATCCTTGAGGTGGGTTGGGCTGAGACGGTGACTGGTCCAAAGTCACCTACATGATTTTCATGGCTAAGGGAGGCCTAGATTCAAATCTCCTACTTTCTATGTCAGCATCTTAACCACTAAAATAAGCTGGCTCTATAAGATTTTAGAAACATGGTGGAAGGAACCACAATAATGAAATTTTGGGCTTGATTGGTACATATAGTTGGGATAAAGTAGGCAACTCAAGAGAATAAAAGTTTAGTGTAGTGTTGTATATCAAGAATAAACTTACCTGCACAGTGGCCCAATGAATGTTGAATGTTGAAAACATCTGGGTTAAAATAAAAGGACAGGTTAACAGAAAGATATCTTACTACAAGTCTGCTATAACTGATTCAACAGGCAAAAGGGGTAGATGGAGATTTATTAAAGTAGTTTGCTCAAGCCTAAAGGAGCCATGAAGTCATTGTGACTCTAAATAAGGATGTGTAATAGGAATATAAAGAAGGGTTAACAGCCAAGGAAGTTTACCGAGCTCAAAAATGCAACAATGAGGTCAGGAGGGCAAAGGTAGAAAATCAGCTAGCAAGAAAGGGATATAAACAATGTCAATATTATTGATATGTCTCTCTTGCTAGCTGATTTTAACCAATAAAAAGGTTTTTTTTCCAGATATGTCATTAGCAAGAGAAACAGAGGTCTTGTGCTCAGTTCTTATTCCAAACTGGGCAATCTTAAGAAAGCAGAGAAAATGCCAATGTTCCCTCTAGCTTTACAAAGGACATGGTGGTGATTTTAGTAGTGTAGATGGAGGAAATATAATAGGGGAGGGTACAAGCCAGTAAGGATGTAGTAAAGGATCTCATAGCTAATATGAATATTTTCAAACCCCATGCCCCAATGAAATACACTCTCCAGTATTGAAGAGATTGGTTGAAGAGTTGTTGGGACCTCTGCCAACTACCTAAAGAACAAATGTGGTCTATTATTCAAGAAAGGAGGAAAACAAGGTATCCCAGGAATGATTAACCATTGACCCTAACAACATATAATGAACCAGGCCCTTTATAATCCTCTTGAAGACAATGCTTCAGTTTGTCCAAACAGGTAATCTGAGATAAATCTCATTTCCTTTTCTGATAAATTTGCTACGTGAGCAGGCAAGAACAATGTTTTGAATGTAATCTCCCTTGATTTCAGCCAAACTTTTGTCATGATTTCATATGACATTCTTCCCTGTTCCTGTCCTCTACCCTTAGTCTCACCCAGAACCAAAATCAGCTCCTTCTTTCCACTGAACATAAGCTTTGCCACAAGGTACAGCTCCCCCACCAGCTATAGTATCTGAGTTTCTTTGTACACATCCAGCCATTTTCCATACAACTGCTAGACATGTGCCAAGAATGCCATCTACCCCAGCAAATGAGGTTAATTGCAGGGCTGTCCCACACGGGAAGGCTCATTTTCCACTGCCAAAATTCCTATGTGCTGCTTCTCCAGCTGCCCGTTCCAGCAGAAAAGCAAAGTCGTGGTCACCTGATTTCCACTTAGCTACCACTTCACTTAATAGAGTCACCAGTTCTTGCTAAACAAGAACTAACTGTATCTAATGATTTTATGCTGAATATGCTAACTTTATTCCAACTCAGGCAAATAAATCTAGTTTATAGTTGTTCGTCAGTCCAACCTCTCTCACACTGCATTTTATTTTTATTCCTTTGTATTGATTCCTTTGCATTAATATAAGCCAATCTAAGTGTGCAGAAGAAATATGAAGAAATATGTGAATAGCATTTCATCCATGACAAATATATATATCTTCAAATGCCATCTAGTTTGTAGAAGTATCACTTTTAAAAGAAAAAGGCGGAAATGCTGAATTAAAATATAGCTGCGCCTTTAAAGTAATTATTTACAGAAATGAAAATGACAGTATTTAATTTTGTGGTTTAAATATCAGGTTATACAGCTTTATTATTTGGCCTTAACTTAACGGTGCTAATAAGATTTGGGATTTTCTTATGTCAACCTGACTAACTTTACTCTTTACGCAATGAATACTGACACTGTTCAGTATACATTTATACAAAATACACCATACTCTTTGTACTATTCAAACAAAAAACAAGAAGAAGCAAAGTACCTGTGAGAATCTTTTGAACTGGGTACAATTTTTGCACATTCTCTTTTACTGAAGGCACCTTCAATCCAGGATTTCTGGGACTGAACAGAAATATGACATCTCAAAGAGATTTTCTAGAAACCTTTGATATACAAAAATAAGCAACGGTTCTATAGGATCATGAAAAAGTTAATGCTATATTGCAAATATTAACACAGAACTGGAAAAAAAATGTAGAAGCTGTGCATAAGACCATTAGTCTACACAATTCTTGCCTTTACAATCCTTTTTTTTTAAACTCGCTCAGGCCTAAAGATAGAAGAAATCTTGCAAATCATTAAATAAAATAAGAAATAACGATAGAGAAATCTTACCTCTCCAAGATAAAAAAAACATTAAGATCCAGCAACTATTTTATATTTCAGCAATGAGAAAACGGGACTACTCACCCTTTATTGAGGTCAATATTCTGCTCTAAATGACTAGCAGTCTGCTAGTATGGCTTTATAAATGATTACCATATAAAGAAATGTTTAGAAGAAGTGCTGGTCTATCAAGATTTTAGCATGCGCATGGATATCTCCTTGTATCCATTAGACAAGAGGTATTGCCTATTTTAATATTTTAAACATCTTAAAACCTGAATGGAAAATTGGGACAGTGCAAAGCATTAGCGTTCTGAACATTTTACATGCGGTTGTCTCCATTGCAGTATTATATTTCCACTTGCTCAGAAAAAAAACATAGTAAGATTAGGGAAAGGAAAAATGGGGAGAGTCCTAAAATCTAGGAGTCTAGGGCCTGGTGAGCAACAGCTTCTCCAGGTTGCTTTGTGATAAGTAGCTATTTGGTGGCAAATAGTAAAATAGGTGATAGCAATCACTGTGTGAATACCGGTATATTGGCCTACCCATCTCTGTAATAGCCAGTTTTTGAAAGCATTTGTGCCATATGATAAGGTTTCAAATGTATTTGCTAGTTCAAAAAAGTTTTGAAACACTTAATGTAGACGTTTGTTTAAATTAAAAATTGTGTTCTATAATTAAAGCTTTTTTAAATCCTCAGGTAATTCATAGGGGCCTCTCAGTGAATCTCCTGAAATTCTTAATAAATGACTATTGACAATTTATCAAAAGGCCAAATCATCTATTGCAAATGTTACTCTCTAGTAGAATCAGTGAATTGTGAAATCATGTACTATGCTAGAATCCTCTGTGAAACTATTCTTTCAGTCAAGCTTTTGAACTGAGCTAGAAGAGGGAAAAGAGAAAAGAATTCCTATGACTTGTTCTTTGCAATGAATTTATCCATCCAAAATTGGTCTAGAATACGGTTGGTGAACCTGTAATTCTGTAGATGTTGGTCTTGTATACAGTTCTTGCACTTCCAATAGGGGCTGCACTATTGGAAGTGCAAGACCTGTATACAAGACCACCTAAAAAAATCACTTCTCATATTGTTATTCCAAAGGTTTGGATCCTTCAGCAATTGGAACTCCATGGTTGAAGAAGGATAATGGCAATGAGCTTAAGAAATTTGACTGTGAATAGGAGCCTGGTTGTTGAGGTGACAAAGTATGCATGAGGCTAGATTATGTTGCTTATGTACCAATCTTATTGCTGCCAAGCAGGAGCCTTTCCTGAGCTCCTGGGCCTTATTACTGGTGTTGGAGAAGTTCAATACAGTTGTGGAGTCTGGATAGGCTTAGGAGTTCACGGCCTCCATGGTGAAGACAGACTTGGGCCAGGTAATGTTGGATTCAGCACATAAAGTGTGTAAGTAGGGATAAATGGTGACCTGGTGCTTGCCTCAGAACAGTTGGTATATGATGTTGATATGAACATTAGTTTACTGATCAGATCATTTCCTGGTTGAAATGAAATTCATCATAGGCTATAATTTCCAAAAACCAACTAGTTAAAATAGTTAGCTGATAGTTGTTGAACAGCATTATTTAGAATGGTAATTTCCCTTAGAAATGGGCAAGAAGATCTATGATCAGGGTGCTGTGACACTTTGCATGTTAGTTTGGAAATAAAATCACACACATTAAGAAACTCTTCATGGGCAGGGTCTGAAATGTTGATTGGGTCAACATGTTGCCATATTATGTGGACTTCCTTTTGGTTTGTGGATTCCAGTCAAATGGATACTACACACTCTGATACAAACTCTGTCACCTATGGCTTAGATCCATTCGTTCCTGACTCTTTCAGGGAGCTGAGATTTATGATTGACTAAGGCCTGGGAGCTAACATTTCCTTAGGGGAGAGTATAATGCCACCTAATTTCTTGGAAAGGTAATTGAGAAAGTACCAGGATATCCATTTAAAGTGCTGTACAAAACCCAGATTATTTTGAACTCTTTTAGTCAGGGGACAGATATGAACATTAAATGGAAACAACAGTAGACACCCTAGAGGAGAATTTATGTTAAGGTTTAGGAGTGGGTGAACTCTTCCTGGTGCTACTAGACCTTTTGTTGACATTCTAATCTATATCATTGTCCATATCTATGAAAATTGAAGTCAAGGCCACTATTATTCTTTCCATTCTTTCTCAGCAGGCAGATTTAGTTGGGGAAGAGTTTGGCCAAGAGTATGCTTCCTTGTGGCATACAAGATTTTGGTCCTCTTCTTTGCTGTTTTGTATTTCTGTGAAAATGCTGAAAAATCATCTATTAAGATACCAGCAGTGGTGGGATTCAGCCAGTTGGCACCAGTTTGGCAGAACCGGTAGCTAATGTTTTGTTGCACAGGTCCAGAATGGACTTCCGGAAGCAGCATCCACACAGAGAACCGGTTGTTCACATATTTGAATCCCACCATTGGATACCAGTATGATATACATCCATTCTACATCTTCACCCCATGCCACATTGGAGAGACTTGGAATCTTAACCTTGCATCTTGAAAACATTGGGGTTTGAATAGCACAACAGGATAAATGTGAACCTCAGGAAGATATAAGTATTCTCTATTCAGAAAGACCATCAGTTTGTGCCAACTATGGTTTGTGTAGCACCTCCAAAGTAGTACTGTTACTTAGGGATTATCCTGAACTCAGAGATATGTGGGATAAAGCCAAGAAAGCCATGGCTATGGTGATGGTAATGCATGTTCTTATCGCCACATAACCAGACTAATGCAATATATTGTATATGGAACTCATTTGAAGACACTAAAAAATTGTACTTGTTCAAAATGCAGTTAGTCATAAGCTAGCAAGCGACATCCATTGAAAACTATGTTAAAGATCCTGCTCTTGCTCCCACTGGGTTTTTGAATACAACTGAATCTGCTAGTTATAAAGCTTGGTTCCTAGGTATCTTAAGGACTGTTGCCTTCAAGTGGAATTGGTCCATCAGATATGTTCTTCTTATAAAGTTGATGGTAGTTCTCAATTTTCAGAAGAGTAGAACTGAGGCTCACTTACATTAGCAATGTCCCAGGTTCACATGAGCACCATTTGCGACCTTCCCAGCTAGCTTCCAATAAGCATGGTCAGTTGGGGAAATCAGATTCACTAAACGACTACATGCTTTACTTAATAATTGATGTGATTCACTTAATGATCACAGCAAAATGGGTCTCAAAATTGAGCATGGTACATTTAACAACTGCCTTACTAGCGATGGAAGTTGTAAGTTGTTGTAAGGTCTGTGGTTGTAAGTTGAGGACCACCTGCACTTTCTTTCATAATGGCCACTATTTTATAGAATAGTCTCGCCTCCAGAGACGTAAGTGATGTCACTTTCCATTTTCCAGAAATTCAGTTACAACTTCAATTTTCTGAAGGGATGCCATCAACAGCTATTGTTATATTGTTTGTACTAGGAGATTTTTATGGTTTTGTTATATTTTCTTACGATGTTATTCAATCTGTTGTTGACTGTAATGGTACATTTACACAAGGAATTAAAGAAGACTCCAGTTTAAAAATGAGTTCTGTTCCCAAGCTCTGTCCTTAAGTCAAATCTGTTTGTAAGCCAGAACAGTATTATTGTGTAATACTATATAACTAATATTGTGTAATGAACTTGAACTATTATGTATTTAACTCGAATTTTGCTACAATAGGCTTCATTCCTAACTATGGGTCATCCTTAAACAGAGGCGTTCTTAACTCAGGGACTTGCTGTATTCTCTTTCTTTTTGTGAGATAGATTGTTTAAGAGATGACAAGTAACTTAATGCCAATTTGGTGAGACTTGCAGCTGTCTTTAGATTTGAGTCTCCGTGGCCTAAGGCTGCCACAATCACAATGTATCTTATATCATACAAACTAAGAGATGAAGAAAGTATCCCTCCTGACATCACAATATTGCCATTTTCATGTTTTAAAATTTTCCCCGTTTCCCACTCTTATACCCTGATTCTTTTGTTGCTCTTTTCACCAACTGGATGGGTCATCATGGCACTTCCCTGGCAAAACTGTCTCTCATTCTATTTCCTTCTAGCGGGATAGGAGTTTATGAATTCTTGCAATTAAAGGATACTTATATCCCTTTTCTTTGAAAAATGGCTGACTGAGGTTCCTGGGAAGACAGTAAAGTCTAACTGCTTTGTAAATATCTGACTTGCTACACCCATCACTCAACTTTCACTATTGTTTCCTTTGCACTTCTTTCTTACTGTTTAAAGACTCAAGAACGCATAGAATAATATTTTTCCTTGCTTTAAGATTCATCTTTCAGAATTTCCAAACCTGGTTCTTGATCTACTATATAGCCAGTTAGAGTTGGCTGACTGGATATTATGTTTGCATACCCACTCTGAAAGACAGATTCAGAGCATTCAGTGGAGACTTGGCTGAGAAAGGAAACCAGTAGTTACCAGAAGTCTGCACACTTATCATCTCAACTGTTGATTATGTGAATGTTTATTTCCCAAGTGTTGCCATGGCAGAAGAAAAAATAAAGTTGATCTTGGTGGAGACTTCCTTAATGAAAGCATTCCTTAAATGCTGATAGCAAGTTTGTGGGTCCTCTAGAATTAATACTGCTAAATTCAAGTTATTGCCCAATATAGACATAAGCATTCAGAAACCGGTGAGTTGGAAAAGCCTAAGTTTCAAAATATTTATATTAATACACATGCACGCACGCACACACAGAGAGAGGGTAGGATCGCTAACTTTAAAGTCAGTCATATCTGGAATTCTTAGTTCCAGATGAATTTATTTTACATGTTCTCTTCTCTATGGGAAAATAAAAAAGTATATACGTAGTGCAAAATTAAATATTCTCTTGCCATCTATAATAAAATAAGTTACTGTGTCTTAGAAACTAACATTTAGTGTGCGACATACTTTTATACACCAAGTTTACCACATGAAATAAACTATTATTCCTGGCTGGGAAGTCTGTCCTTTCATATATACAAATATTGGTATACAAGCATATTTGACTATAAAAACACACTATGGATAGGAAGAGTGCCTTGACATGTAAAAGGTATATATATATTGCTCAATATAAAGATAATGATCATTTACACATATACCATTTGGATAATTCTACAGTAACAAATTGAAAAGAATTACATTGCTTGGTAAGTTACAATTCAATGATTTCACATTTGTGTCTTGATAGAATCCCCTTTTATAAGAATAGAAAATTTCAGGTCACTGGTAAAATGTCTAGATGACAGCATAGTGCTTTTTGAAAGTGTAATATATAAAGTTTGACCTGAAGAACCATGAATGAGTCCCTGATGCTCAAAGCAATGTAATTAATATCATCTGATATTAATAGAGCTGGCATTTGAAGTTATGGCAGTAATAATTTGTGTGTTTAGCAGTCTTAAATCACTAGTTTGTCTACATGAAAGGGACATATAGAGAGTGCCTTAAACCTCTGGCAATCATATTGCTGAACATTTCCTAGCCTTCCTAAGAAAATTGGTCAATAGTCATGAATGTTAGGCGACTTCTCCTTGTTTAGGATATGAGGAGCTTGATAACGTTCTATCACTTTATCTCCTGCATACCCAGAACCAGATCCTGAGTACAAATCTGAATTTTTCTTTTTTTTTCCAGCCCCCCCCCGCCCATGGATTGTATCTTCATACAAGACTGTATCTTATTTTTCCAACTCCGTTACACAGAAGTCTGAAAACACCTAAATATACTTCTAAGTCATGATCTGCATTGTCTCTCCTCACTTATAGCTACAAATAAGGAAAATGACTTCTGAAAACAAGAGCCAAATAAACAATTTATCCACCCCAAGCATAATGCCCATGTTCATAAGCATATGCTACATAGCTTTTGTATTTTCTTCCAGCAAGGTGGAATTGGGAAAACAAGATCAGCAGGATCCAGTGTGCATAAAAAGTATCTGCCGTGGAAGAAGCAGGTTTGAGACATACGTTCAGTTAGAAAGATTACCAGCTGCCTAGATGTACTGCATTAAAATGACTAGCAAAAAACCTCGGTCCAAACTTCTCCATCTGCCCAATTCTATGTAGATTGTTTTTTTTACCTTCACTTGAACTTTCATCCTGTCCGGTGTTTCTTCCTTATTTCATAAATTGGAGCTTCACGGGCTGGAGTTGCACTCATAAATCAGTGCTGCACTCTCTCTTTTCCAGTCCCTGAAAGCTGCTTCAAGTATTGCAGATACACAGAAAGAAAGAAAGTCCATTCAAAACTCAAAGAACACTTTGCTTGATCCTTGGACTACACCATTGGTTAATGTTCCACTTTCTTCTATCAGAGACTGGCAGCTGACTTTATGACCCAAGTTCTTTTGAGGATTCTTGAAGCTACATACTAAGGCTCTCTTGCAAAATGCATAAACAACAGGCAGGCCAAGGGGCATGGTCAAATTATCCAGTTTGGTCTGTTATGAATTCCAGCATGTGCTTTTCCATCTCAAATGAAACACTGCGTGGTTCCTCCCTGCCCATAAGTTAAAATAATATATGTGAAGGAGTAGAGTTTCAAACTTTTTGGAGCCTTCCTACTTTTGGGAGGAACTGATCAGGTTCACCAACTAGCCAAATTTGATTTTTCAAAATACTAGTTTAAGATAGAGTAACTGCAGTCACATTTGATAGGACTTTCTGAAGCACATCCTGTAAGCCAAAATAACCTGATTTTGATATCATGAACAGTGGTTGGGCTTATATAGTACAAAGTTAGATTTTTTTTCCCCCAAGATAAATTCTAGTATTTATAAAAAATAAAGAGGAAAAGAAGCCTGAATATAGTAAGTGCCTTTGGCACTGTTCTCACTGGTGAGAACTCCAGTTTCTACAAAGAAAAAATAATTAATACTTGAATTTTTGGCCCTAAATTATTTGAATAAGGATGTACAAAACAAAAAAGACAGTTATATTTTGAACCCTGAGCAAAACGTTCTCATAGTCTGTTATACAAAAAAAAGGAAATTGAGAAAAGCTGGGGGTTCCCCTATTTTTTGTCACAGAGGCAGGCAGGCAGGCAGAATCAAGGTAGGCCAATAATCCATATATTATGTAGAGAGCCTCAGAGATGACTCTAAAGAGAATATGCATCAATAGTCACAAAAGCAAAAGTCTGCATTAATTCCAGGAAATAGAGGTGTGAGAAAACTCAGGACTGGATCCACCCTAATTCACTGATAGAGGAGGGACTAGAAAGCACAGCCAAGCTTTCCTTTCAGATTCTGTTATTATATTATTATAGCCTGCATTAATTCAGTATCAAGTAGAGTACTATCCATCTTGCAGACTTTGTTTCCTGATCTGACCTATCTTGAAGGGATGATACTCAATTTACAGAAAAATAGCCAAGAGGAGGAAGAGGGGAGGGAGATTAAGCACAGCAAATAAACAACTGAAATGGTTTATTTAAAAAACAATATATGGAGGGGGGGAAAGCTAGTACCCATACACTTTGCACACTTTTGAGTTTTGATAATTATCTTTAATCATCAAGAAATCCTTACTGTTTTGTATCTGACAACCTAAAAACTCAACAGGGCAAAATTATCTGCAATATACACACATCATGTACTTCTGCTTTTGGCAGATTTCCAGGAAATGTTACACACAACTAAACTTCAGCAAAGTGAAGAATTTAAGAAAAAAAGAACCACTTAACAGCGTTTTTAGTCAAGAGCTCTAAATGCATCTCACCAATTCAGCCTCACTCCCACTTTTATTTTTCAAGTAATAAGGGCAGAACCTATGCCTACTCTTTCATTAGCCATTCAGAAAATCTCCATAGCTCTAAAATTAAAAAGTTATTCATGGGACAGCTGAACACTTAAAATAATAGGGGACAAATGCTGCTTGTTTCGAGCTCTGGACCAAACTCTGGAACAGAGAGCTTTATTGGAAGCGTGGAACATTTTCCACACCTATACTCTTAAAAAAAATTAAAAGCAAAAAGCAAACAAGCCACTTTATTCCCTGCCTGCATGGTCAACTTTCAGAAAGTGGTTTAATGGCAAAACAGAAGAATTTGGCAGTTCCTCAAAATTTTGTACTAAAAATTCAGGACCACAACATTGTGCTTCACAAACAGGTCCCGGATTCAGTCAGAATCAGACGCAAAGAATTCGGTCTGAAAGAGCTTTAATTCAGCAATCGTAAATACATGGGCCAATAATCCACCTTGAGGTAAAACTGCTTCTTTCTGCTAGTATTAATTTATAGCAGTGGTGGCGAACCTATGGCATGGGTGCCAGAGGCAGCACTCTGAGCCCTCTCTGTGGGCATGCGCGCAGTCGCCCCAGTCCTCGGTTTCAGCTGGGTTTTATAAAACCTTTTCGCTTTAGGCCTCCGCCGCCGTGTACAAAAAAAAAAGGTTCAGTCAATTTCAACTTCTCGCGGGAAAAAAAAAGATCTTGCAAAGTTGGAGTTGATTGAACTTTTTAGTCCCACCCAGTCTGCTGTTACCACCGCAACCATGCCCACCTAATGGGCCACACCCACCCAGTGGGCCACACCCACCCGGCACCCGACGATGCATAAGTGGGTTTTGGGTTGCAGTTTGGGCACTCAGTCTCTAAAAGGTTCGCCATCACTGATCTATAGCTTTTTGAGGCAGCAGATCTAAAGAAAAAGAAACTATTGAGTATTACCAAAAAAAGTCTAATCTGACCATCATATTCATTACAGCATGTTACATATTTTTTTACTCTTAAAAAAACAACAAAAATGGAACATTACAAATTCAACTACCGAAAAACCCATTTTTCCATTCAAAAATTTATTCAGATCAAACACCTGACACAAAACTAGGGAAGCGCTGCCCATTTACACCTGCATTTTCATCACTTCAGAAGTTTAAGAATTTTCTACCTAGAAGCTGATACAGAATAAAATTGAAGCATACAGTATTGTTCAAATGCAGGCAATAACTGGCTACCAGTGGCACTGGCTACCAGTGGTCTTCCGGGTGCGTTTTAAGGTGTTAGTTACCACCTTTAAAACGCTCCATGGCATTGGACCTGGTTACCTCCGAGACCGCCTTCTGCCACAGATTTCCTCCCATAGACCGGTACGCTCCCACAGAGTGGGTCTCCTCAGGGTGCCGTCGGCCAAACAATGTCGGCTGGCGACCCCCAGGGGANCCTAGGGTGGATTTTAGTTAGGGATGATTTTAATATAATTTTAATTATTACACAGCTACTAATATTTGGCTTTTAATTTGGTTTTAGAGGGGTTTTTATTCTGGTATTTTATTGTTATTTGTTTTAATATGCTGTGCACCGCCCTGAGTCCTCCGGGAGAAGGGCGGTATATAAATTTAATCAAATAAATAAATAAATATAATTACTTATGATAATTGAAGTATAAAAGTCAACTCTTTCCAATAGTTGTGATTTAAGCCATAACGTTTATGTTTCATATATTTCATAACGATATGCAAGGCTATCCTTTGTCTTCTGCACAACTTACTGAGCATTCCAAAGGTAAATCCTCTGAATCAGGAGTGAATAATTTTAACTATAGTTTATTTTATTAAAGAGATAATTGGTATCTTGAAATACTTTCCTGGGTTTTTTTCCCCCCAGAATATACTCAACTCGGCATTTGTGCATCACAAACGGTAAAAGGACCGCCCCCAAAAGCAGCATAATCACAATTCTCTGGATAATGACCTACAGCTGTTATGGACAAGGAAGAAGTAAAACTTTAAAAATTTTATTCAAAGTTTTTTCCATATCAGAGCTGCATACATCACAATAGAAGTCAGCTTACTTACCTTCTTCATTTTCATCACTAAAGAACTTTTTGTAGCCTTTAGCCACTGGATTTCATACTGAACTTTCCATCTACATCACAATCAGATAAAAACAGCTTTGCCCTAACAGCTAATGGAAACAATGCTGGAAAGTAATGATTACAATTGTCCATGTGCTTGCAATTAAAAGCTTTAATGGGAACAGGGGAAAAAGATGAACTCTGAAAACTCTGGTGACATACTTGTACTGCAATTAAACTGAAAAGACTACAACTTATACTCAAGAACATGTGACAATCTGGTTTCAAGTTTATATACCACATTAGGAAAATGATTAACATTCAGAACGTTTTTTGTTTGTTGTTTTAAGTAGCAGCTTAGTTCAGAATAAAAGTTTTCCAATGGGGGGGGGAACCCCTAATGGTTCACTATGGATCTCTTTTACTAATATAAGCGAGGACTTGTTCACTCTGAGGTCAATAAAAAACATTTTTACTACTTTTCTTGCTAATCTCAATGCTACTAAATAGACTGTTTCTTCTTAGTAGTTGTTGCAACAAAATACTGATGCAAGTTAGCATTAAAAACCTGTTGTATATAGCCAAGTGGGTCCTTAAAAATATCTTTTTGTTCACGTAGATTGTGTACAGTGCAGAAAGCAAGAAAAAAGTCAAATGTCTGATTTACAATACACATTTTAATTAAAATACAATAATAACTTATGGCTATCCAAGAATATGTTCATAAGGTAAGTGACCTTATGCATTTTTCAGATAATAGTTCCTTTTACAAAGGTAGCTTCTTTTGATCATTTGTTCTTTGTCTTATTCTCTCAAACCAGTTTCTTTGGTTCATGATTCACAGTAATGAAATAATGCTGGTAAAAGAACAGGAATGTTTAGGCTGATGAAATCTTGTAACTTTCTTTCATTCCATAGCCAACAGATAAATGGAGAAGAATGGAGGAAAAAGAAGACTATACTTGCTTTTTCTTCTGCACTGAAAAGTTTGATACTGAATTCTTATGAACACAGCAAACACAATTTAAGTACAAAATTAGAAAGAGGCTGCTATATAGGAGCATTTGTATTTTTAAGAGAGAAAAAAATCTGAAATTGCTAACCAAAACTTTAGCCTCTTAGAACAAAGACTAAGTTCAGCAGGCCTTACTTTTTGAATAAACATGAAAAACTAAGTTTGTAGCTTATATGCAGTTATAATTTAACATAAAGTGAACGGTACAACTGTTGGAAAAATATGGAAAGTCAGTGAAAGTATTTACAGAAGTCTTATTATTTATTATTTTCTACAAGAAAAAATATT